TGAGTTCACTTGAGGAACAACATACTGTTCTATGCTCAGACATTAGTGAAATGGAAAATGTCATCACAGATCTGAAAGAGAAAGTATCAAAAGCTGAAACCAGGGCTGAGAATGCAGAAGCCAAAAGCAAATTATTAACAGAGACTAATATGGAACTTAATGAAGAGATCGGACTTCTTAAAAGCACTAGCAGTGCCTCGGAGACGGTGGATTCACTTGAGAGGAAGTTAAGGGAATCTGATACCCAATTACAGCATGCAGTGGCATCTGCTGAAGCTAGCCTGGAGAAACAACACATGTTGTATTCTACAATCAATGACATGGAAAGTGTGATTAAGGATCTAAAGCAGAAGGTTTTAAAAGCTGAAAGTCGGACTGACAGTGCAGAGGACAACTGTATAAGATTATCAGAATCTAATGCACTGCTAACTGAGGAACTAAGCTTTCTGAGGGGTAGATTGGCATGCATGGAGGCATCTTTGCATCAAGCCGAGGAAGTAAAATTAGCTACTGCAACTGATATTGGTATTCGGTCCAAAGTTCTTACAAGTTTAGTGGTGCAACTTGCTTTTGAAAGAGAGCGCCTTCATAAGCAGGTATTCACTTATCATGTATTTGATTAATTTTTCAATTTCAGGTTGAATTTTTTATTGTGAGGTGGAAATGTCTTTTTGCTGTCTCTGTCACATTGCTCAGCGCCTGATTCCTTTTTCCTTTTGGTCATTTACCATTTAGCATGTATGTGAGAAATGTAAATCTCAGCTATATAATCTCAATAAGTGATAATGTACTATGCTAAATTAGGAAATTACTTAAATATGGAGCATATGGATCACTAAACAAATCTTATGATCTCCATGCGTAGAAATGTCCACACACATAACTGTGTAATACACAGAGTATACGTGCATGGGCATGCCCACATCCATGTTTTTTTTTTGTTTGGCTCCACATACATGTTCATATGCATGTTTGTGTTGCCTTGGGAGCTTGGCTTAGATGACAAGAGTTGAGGTGGAGGTTTGGCAGGACAGGTATTAGGTCTAAATCTTGCCAAGCTAGGATATAGAAGGTATGCAGTTATGTCTCTATGTCTTTAAAGAGAGTTTGAAACCCAGTTAGCAGATATGATTTCTCTTCACTTCGGATCATCAAATTTTCTTTTGCAACTTTCGACGTTTGAAGGCAATTGTCTCTTTTTATCTAATTGAATTCCTCACCGTATTTTTAGTGTGCTGAACCGTTGAGTCATTAGAAGGGTCATATTGTCTTACTAAACATTGAAAGTTCTACATTGTCTTGTTTAATTTTTTTTTAAAAAGAAAACATGAAAATTTTACTTTTCTATCATTGCATTAAGCACTTAGACATCTTGTTTCCTGCCAACAAAGAAAGATTGAAATTTTTGTTTTAGCATATTGAAATCTAAGTGATGGCACATCAGCCAGTCTTGCTTCAGTAAAATGTGTTTTTCCAAACTCTAAATTTTCGTCTTAGCTGCTGGTGATTAAATGTGCAGATTTCTTCATTAGCGGTGGAGAATAAAACTTTGGTACTGAAGTTGCAAACAAACAATAGTCCATCTGTGGTAATGGGAAATGATGATAGAGGAAATCATAAAGACTTCATGCCCTCAAAGCATGGTTTGGCTACTGGCACAAGAGAAAGTAAGGAAGAAGCTGATGAGTTGTCTGATAGTAATTGTAAGGTCTGTGCAGTCGTCAAGCCTGTTTGACTTGATATCCTTTTTATTATTATTTTATATTATAAATCATTGTTCTTTTCTTAAATTTTTGCTTCTGTTCTGTTTTATATTTCTCATGCTTAAGGATGCGTTTTGTTGTCATTCAATATAATTTCATATTCAGCATTCAGATTTCTTTGCACATTTTCTGCATGTACTGTGTTATACTGAGAGTTTGTTTTTCAATTGTAACACAAGTTGAAATACGACATTATTGACTCTAAAGTAGCCTCCTTATTTTATATTTTCAGCTGGATGAGACTCAGAATAATGTTTCTGTTGGTGAGACTGAAGTGGGACCTACTGATTCTACATCAGAGTTTGAGACCGCAAGGAGAATAGATGCAGGAGTTCTGAGCTTCAAGCATTTCCTCGTGGCGATGCTTATTTTACTGATTTCAGTGGCAGCTTATTTTTTTCTCCAACAAGACTGCCCATTTTGATGTTGCCGCTGGAGTTTCCTCATGAGCTTGTCTCCACAGTAGCTTTCTTGTAACAACCAGTGTAGAGCAACGAAGATCTGGTAAACGAAAAAACGAAGAACAACAAAGTTATATTCTGAAATTGTTTAGGGATAGGCAATCTATTGTGCCTAAGGTACAAATTGCATCAAAGTGAGATGCTGAATGCCCTTCAGCATTGAGAAATAACAAGATATCATTTGATAGCGAGTTTCCCATCTTAGCTTTCTCCTCAAGTACTCAAAGGGATGTAAACACACAATGATAGGAGATTGTTGTAACTAGTTCAGAAACAACTTCAATGATAGTTTTTACCATCATTTATGAATTTTTAGTGCTTACAATTATAAATTTATGTCCAAGAAAGATCGATGGATGTTTGCGAATTTGTTCTTTTTGTGATTGTCCAGGCTCCATACCAAGCCTTTGAATGTGCATATATTATCTTTTTAAATCTCTCTTATGCTCTTGGTTAGAATTATTTCGTAGGTAATTTGGAAAGCCCTCGCACAGACATTGTATAACCAACCAGTATCAAGTCTTTGGATTACATGATTTACTAACCCAACAAAATTCATGCTGAGGTTCCAATCCAGTATCAAGGCACACATTTTGTAGCAAAATTCCTACGACTAATTCTTTGTTGCAGTTGAACCATTTGTCTCAGAGAGGTTCGATATATTTGATATTAGTTTGGAGCTCACAAGCGTTAGAATACTTCGTCAAAACATAACAAATAAAACTCTTGATGAGAGAGTTCCTTTGTTATCATATCAAGGACTCAAAAATTAAAATCAAGTTAAGAACAAAGAATACCTAGATTCAGTTATAACTTATAACTAACTTATTAAATTCCTCCAACTTAAGATAAATAGCCCCTCATTTTGCAACAACCTTGGTCAACCTTTCTGTTTATGTCCGATTTACCCCGACTGAGATCATAGACAGAAAGGTTGTGGAATACCTTCTTGGTTTATGAACCTTGTGATGTGCTCTTCTTGGGGATTGAGGGATTGAAATATAATGTTACAATTCCAGTCCAATGCAACAATGAAATATAATGATTAGAGGAATTGAATAATCCGTTTCGCCTTTATGAACAAAATAGTAAGATTACAAAGTAGTTATAGTTGTATTTCATCATTTAACCATAAACAATTCTAAAAATTCCAATCCAATCCACTCGGGCTTTGATTTCTGGCGAAATCTGTGTGTTTATCTATGAGGCTATACAAGAATGATGATATGAATGTTCTATGCGAATTTGATGTAATTGTACAGACTTAGGGCTTGTGTTTAAATAGAGTGGCCGATACCTGTTCTAATAGGTATCAGATAAGGGCAAACCCAATCAGAAAAAAAAATAAAAACATTATATGATATTTGAATTTTAAAAATAATTCAAATAATTAATTAATTAATTGGATTTAATTTAAGGGAGTTTCACTAAAACACCCAAAATGGAGGCTGAAATTATAAAAAAACCCTACACCCAAAACACTTTATAAACACACCCAAAACCCATCATTACACACACTCAAAACCCACTTATAAACATACTCAAAAAATATACAATTATTGACTTTGGGGTTGATTTTGGGTGTGTTTCTATGTTTAAATAGTGCTTGGGTTTTTTTTATAAATACATGTCTAGGATTGGGTTTATTTATAAATTTGTATTAATTTAAATCATAGAGCCCCAAGGCCAATCTTTTGATTAATTATATATATTAATTAATCATTGACGCAACTAATCAACCATTGACCCAACTAATTAGGCATTGACCCAAGAGCCCCAAGGCCTATCTTTTTATTCAATAATATGTGAAATTATGTGTATAATACGTGAATTTTGTGTGTATTCTCAAAAAATTTGTAAAAAATACGTATATTAAACATGAAAAATATGTATGTACGTGTACAACACAAGTATTGTACATTTGCTTTTTCAAAAATATGTATTTTATTGAGTCATTAAGACATGTAAAGAAAATGGATCTATTAATGAAAAATACGTACGTACATGTATAATATGACTATTCAATGTGAAAATGCTAAATTCTTTATATGGGTAATAACTCTGGCAAAGGAAAAAAAAATAATCAAAGTGAACAATAGAGACTCGAGCAAAGGCCTAAAAGAAAATAGGGGAAATTTTTTTTTTTTCCCAAAAGAAAAGGATCCCAGTATATATAAAGAGTAGAGCCGGTTGGCTATACAATTTATTAAAAATAAAAATAAAAAACCCCAGTAACGCAGCGCGGTTATACTATTTTTTTTAAAAAAACCGGGTATAGCCGCGCGGCTATTTAGTAAGTAAAGAAAAGACCCCTAGCGAAGAGGCAAGTGGTGGGGAAAAGCAGTATAGTCGCGCGGCCATAATATTTTTCAAACAAAACCAGCGTATAGCCGAACGGCTATACTATTTATGGAAGCTCTAAGGCGTCCACGTGCAGAAACAGGTATAGCCGATCGGCTATACTATTTTTAATATAAAAATACCCTATTCAAACTGGGCGGCTATACTATTTTGTAGAAAAGAAAAAAAAGGGGCCCACGTGTCAAAAAGGTATAGCCGCGCGGCTATACTATTAAGAAATACCGCAGTATAGCCGCCTTGCTCCTTGTATCGTATGATTTGCTGCAAACACTTGCTCATTCCAGATTTCTCGTTCTTAAAAAAACTCTCAAATGTTGGACAGAAGCTTCAAAATAGTTGATGAAACAGGCACATCAGGGAAAATCGATGCGGCTGGTCTCTTCCTAAATTAACAAGATCAAATCAGAACCTGGGATTACGAGATACCATTGTTTTCAGTTCCTTGTCCACGCAATCGTACTTTGATGGATACTTGGAAGTGAAGAACCCCCTAGCCACATCATAATGAAAGAGAATTCAGGTGTCATCCTCGATCCATCCCATTCCAAATTTCTTGTCGTTCAAAAATTCCCAAACGTTCGTTACAAGATTTGGAACGTTTGCCGGAATACACAGTGGCGTAACAGGCACATCCCCGAAACATCGATAAGTGAAGGATGATGTGGATGATCTTTTGTCAAAATTAACGAGATCAAATCAGAACCTAGGATTACGAGATAAACAACTAAAAATACGTACCATTGTTTTAAGTTTCTTGTCTACACAATCGTACTTCACAGAGTACTTGGAAGTGAAGAAACCCCTAGCCACATCATGGTGAAAGATAATTCGGGTGCCATCATCGCTGCATACCATTCCGGATTTCTCGTCTCCCAAACATTCCACAAGCTTCGGCACTGTCTCCGAAACAAGCTGTGGCGGAACTATAGCACATCCGCTGAAACACAGGCTGTGGCAGAACATGAACATGTGCATCCACTTGAACAACGATGAGGGAAAGGTGATGAGGCTTATCTCTTACAAAAGAGTCTTGCTTATACACTGCCTAGGATTACGAGATCATTTATATTGATTGGGTATTGTGATTATAATCCATATTATCATGGATTGAGATTTGAATATCAATAAAGTCCCTAAATTAAGGGTTCCGATTACATCTAGCTCCATATATTATTGTAAATTAATTTTCGGATTTAATTTAAGGATATTAAAGGGATTTCCGAAAAGAAAGGGATCAGTGATGTGCTAGAAATTAGGGATTATTCATTTAGAAAAGTCGTACAGTTACAAATCAAAGGAATATATGGTGGATGGCACAGATTGTAATTTTAGTATTAATATAAGGACAAATATTATATTATACATATTTTAAATTTGAGTTTTCATGGGAAATGAAATTTAGGGTGAGTTTATCTATATATATATAAACCAAAAGGCAGAAAATTGTTAAATATTCAAAATACCAGAAAATGTCTTTAGTTAATGCAAACATTAAAATATGAAACCATTGAAACATGTAATATTTTGATTATCTCACGCGCTCGATTAAATATCCTTGGTTAAGACGATTTATCACACGTGCTCGATTAAAATATGAAAATATTGAAACGGACATCTATATAAATACAATTGCGAAAAAAAAAATACGAAACTTTGTAAGTCGCACGTAGCGCGCGTGATTAAAAAAAAGCCTCTCGCACACGCTGTAGCGCATGCAGGGAGGCTATTATATATAAAGCAAAAGGCAAAGAATGGTGAAACATTCAAAATACAAGAAAATGCCCTTAGTTAATTCAAACATTAAGAATTGAAATTATTAATTAAATAAGGATAATATGGTAAATTCACATTTTTATATTTAAAAAAATTAAAATTAAAAGAAAAATAAGATAATGGATCCTATTTTTATGGGACACAGCTACCCATTATTTTTTTAATTCTAAAATAAATTTAAATTTGTTAAAAAAAAAGCCTTTCCCAAGTGCGGAAGTGTATGCGGAGAGGCTAGTATATAAAATATAGGAGTTATATAGAATTAGGCACTTATTTTAATTTTTTTTCCCTCGGTTTGGTTTGATTGAATCGGCAGCTTTGATTTTTTTTTTGGGTAACTCGGCGACTTTGAATTTATAAATCGGAAACTGAACCGATATATAAACATAATATATGACATGCATATGATATGTTGTTAAACATAATTTGATAACCTATTTGTTTGAATTAATTGTTTCCTAAGTGTAAGTGCCAAAAGTGTATGTGGGCTCATTGCAATGTCCCAGTTCTTTTGCAGGTTGATGCTTAGCTAATGTGTTACTTGTTGATCAAGAAAGTCTCGTTTGGGCCTTTGGTTTGAACTTGACGTTGCCCTTTTCTTTGGATGTGTTAGGCGTGCCACTATTAATGTTTTACTCTTTGAGTAGAAAGAGAGAATGAGTGACCAAGTGATGTGAAGATGGTGTTGCGCTCGTTGATCTTAATCTCTAACCAAAGCCATTGTGCTCCAAATGGAGAATCTGGCTTGGATAGGTTCTTTTCTATGCCTCAGTTAAGAAGACTTCAATATTTCACTTGCTACGGGACAAACTTGGAAGAAGCAACAACTTTAAATTGATATCGGACATAAAGTGCAATGAAAGTTTAAAGTTGGTGGTGTTCGAAAGGTATTATATTGTTGCAAGAAAGCAAATACATATCTATTTAGATCAAATACATTTGATCTGAAAACAATAAGCAACCTAACATGAACCAAAGAAATGATCATTGGACATAAACAAAACTCCTCAGACACCAATATAATATAATCTATTTGAGACAGTACAATGAGTCCGATGAAGGTGTTAGCAATATCTGCAATGCTTAGGAAAACTTGCATATACAAATTTTGATCTTAGATAAACTAGAAAAAGTGACTAGCTTACAAAAATCTTATCAAGCACTGATGTTGGCAAATCATTAAGATTACAAACAATAACAAAGTAATTCTGATCAAAAGTTGTCAATTGGGAATTAATCAGAGTATGTGTTTGGGAAAAAAAAAGAGTTCTAATTAGGAGTTGTCAACGTGGGACTCAAGAGATTGAAAGAGGATTTGATTCAAGTCTTAGCCATGTTGTGATATGTATTTGGCAAGTTGTTTGAGTCAAGTGTATTTGAGGTTGGTTCAAATAAGATGTTTGTTCTTAAGAGAAATTGGTTGTCCTTGAATCAATATCTCCTCCATTTATTTATAGTCTTTTTGGCTTTCGGATTTGTCCTCTTGGTAAAAAGGGAAAGTCCTAATTATTGGTCTCTTCTCTACAACTGAGTTTGGCGGTCTTTTGGATCTTCCTAAGTTTTTGCGCTTTTAACTGGCTTAGATAGGTTGGACGGGCCGATCTTCATGGTTCAAATCGCATTTAATGTGGTTGTCTTACTCTTCTTCCATCATCTGACTTTCCATCAGTTGTCAAGTAAGCTTTGAGTTCAAAATTGGATATTCGCGCTTTTACCCGGATAAAAGTAACGTCTTATGAGTTTTAGCCAAAAAAATTTCGAATAAACCACACCATAGATCTTTGTTTATTTAAACTAAAGGCCTTCTTTTGGGGACCAATTATGACATGCCATGTATTGGCAGAAAATTGATTTTAAATTCATACATTTACATTATCTCTTAATTTATGAATCTTAAAGAAAAGAAATCATATTATCCATTTTAGGGACCAAGTCATATGACTTTGCAATAACCATTTCAATTTGGTTTTGAGACCATTTATTTGATTTCTATGATATCTGTAGGAGCACATAATTCGGCTTCCAATCATAAGGTGCCACGTGGATAAGAAGAATATCTAATTGAGCCCATTTATTTGACCAATTAATTAATACTAAAAATAAGGATATTATCTTTATTTGGGAATATAATCACCAATTAAAGGATAATATCGCCAATATAGAGTATTAGCCTATTTTGGAGATATCATCATCAATTAATGATTTGATCCCAATCAAATCCCTAATTGACTTAATCTCTACATTTTGGGGAAAAATTATCTACCTTCCAAATAGGAAGATATTCTTTAGAGCCCTATAAATACATGGCCACATTCAACACACAAGGTAATCTGAAACTCAACACTAAACATCTGAAATCTCTCTCTCTCTCTCTCTCTCTCTCTCTCTCTTAGCCAACGACACCTCCATTTCTGCCGGCCTCACCACTCTTGTCTCTCCCACACGGCCAAGTGCCACCACACACGGCTCTGGCCACCTAGTTCTTCCCATGAGAGAAAACTCTGTACCCTTTTTTAGCTATTGTTTCTCAAAGATCCAATCGAACTAACTTAGGCATTGGAATGCATTTGGCCAATATCCCTAGGTGTGGTCTTTTACTCTTATCTGTTTTGCAGGAACCGAAGAAGAGAGGGAATGAAGCTTAAAAGGTGGAGGATCTAAACACAAACATTCTCCCGTGAGAAATTTGCACAAACAATATCCATCAGACACATTCTCTCCGATGAGCTTTACTTTTCCAGTTGACCAATTTGTCTAGTCAACGTCTTCATAGTCCCGCATTGTCTGATGTATTTGGGCTTTTAAACATAACTTATGTCGAGCCCCAATTATTTTATAACTAACTTTGGCAACTGGACTTCTGCTGTTCATAAAATCAGCCCATCATTGCAGAACTTGGGCTGAGCCAATTTTGGTCCAAACACTAGGCAATTTGGAAATCCCTTCCACACGGACCATATAACCAACCTACAAAAAAGAAAACTGCACATCACTTTTCTTCTTTTTCTTTTTCTCAAGCTCTTGGTTTGATCACTCTGTTCATGGGAATTCTACAAACAAATTCAAACCCAACACAATTCAAAGGTCCACGTTCCAATCAAATTCCAAATCCAGTTTTTGGATTATATGATTTACCAACCCAATAAAAATCATGCTGAGGTTCCAATCCAGTATCAAGGCATACATTTTGTAGCAACATTCCTACCACTGATTCTTTGTTGCAATTGAACCATTTGTCTGAGAGAGTTTCAATATATTTTATATTGGTTTGGAACTCACAAGCATTAGAATATGACTTCTGGGAATCCAGAAAACATGAAACATAACAAAGAAAACTCAGACGAGAGAGTTCCCTTGTTATCAAGGACTCAAGATGAGAAAGTGATGACAGATAAATACTCTGGAGCATCCTTTCATGGCTCTGTGTTCAATCTGTCATGCACCATTGTTGGTTCTGGCATTATGAGCCTGCCTGCAACCTTGAAAATGCTGGGGCTCGTTCCTGGTATTGTTTTGATCATTATAGTTGCATTTGTTATCGAGGCGTCGATCGAGATGTTGTTGAGATTCAGCAAGGCAGGGTGTGCATATTCCTATGGTGATGCCATGGCTGATGCCTTTGGAAGAATTGGGAAAATCTTACTTCAGATCTGCATTGTTATCTACAACACTGGTTCTCTTATAGTGTACATGATTATAATTGGTATGACGCCATTTCTTCCTTTTCTGCTTACATTGGTCTTACTACTTTCGAAACCATTGTTTTGTATTGTTTCTGTTGTGGCTCAGAAAATGTTTGTTTCCTTTTCGAAACCAGAGGATGTGCTTTCTGGATCAACCTCAAAAGAGGTTCACCATGCCGGCATTTTGGAAGGGTGGTTTGGAGAACATTGGTGGACTAGCCGCGCCTTTGTTCTTGTTGCAGTAACTGTTATTATATTTTTTCCATTGATGTTCTTCGAGCGTATTGGTTGGTAAATATTTCCTTTATGCATCAGTACTAATTAGTGATACCTTGTTTCTGCGTAATATAAAGTTGCAGCTTAGTACAGTTCCTGTGTAAATAAATCATCTTGGTCGCTTGTAATTTGATATAATCGTAGTTTGCTATGCATAGTTAGGTTAAACTCAGTAGGGCAGAGATATGATTCTTTGTTTTTCGGTTGCAGATTCAGCCAGATATATCTCTGTTATATCAGTTGGATTGGCGATTGTGTTCCTTCTTGTTGTCATTGGGGTCACAACTTTCAAATTAGTGGACGGAAGCATAGAGACGCCTAAATGGTTTCCGGCTGTTACTGATTCAACATCATTCCTTAATCTCTTCACTGCAGTCCCTGTTGTTGTCTTTGCATACATCTGCCACTACAATGGTATTCAATCTGATCATCTCTTTATATCCAGGTCGTTACATGTGTAGCATTTTCTGTTTCTATAATTTTAACAACTTATTTTTCGCACTGGAATCCTGATTCGCAATTTGCGTGCTTTCGAGGAAAACAGAAAAAAAAACAATTATATCTTTTGCATCCCTTATAATTTGCTCTTTTTTCCCCCTCATGGTTAGATTTTTGGTGCTAAGTATGCAAAATGGAAGAAGAACAAAGTTCCATACTCATATTGTTATCCTTGCAGAACTTTAGAATTTGCAAATGGTTGCATTCTGAAAATATGAATGTTGATAATTTTCAGTTCACACAATACAGAATGAGCTTGCAGATTCTTCCCTAATTCAAGGGGTTGTTCGGGGTTCGCTTGCTCTATGTGCGGTTATCTATGTAATGACTGGCATTTTCGGGTTCCTTCTGTTTGGTGAATCAACATATACTGACTTGCTCTCCAACTTTGACACTGACATTGGCGTTCCATATAGCTCACTGTTCAATGACATTGTTCGAATTAGCTATGCCGGTCATGTTATACTTGTCTTCCCAACCATATTCTTACCTCTGCGGCTCAACTTGGATGGCCTCCTTTTCCCCTCAGCAAGGCCCCTGGCTTTGGACAAGAAGAGGTTTGTGTTGGAAAGTGTAGGGCTTGTCCTCATTTCCCTTGTGGGTGCAATATCCATACCAAATATTTGGGTAGCTTTTGAGTTCACAGGAGCAACAATGGGAGGGTTACTTGCATTTGTGTTTCCTGCCTCCATCACTCTCAAGTGAGCTCTTTTTCATTCTTAATTCAACTAGAAACTCACTTATCTCGATATCGATTGTTCTAATTCATAGATTTTCTCTGTTAATCTGGTGTTTCAGGGACCCTCATTGTATAGCAACTACCAAGGACAAGATTGTGTCAGTCTCCATGATCATTCTTGCAGTAGTTTCAAACTTCATGGCCATATGTAGCAATCTGCGCTCTTTGTTGTCCTAACTGAAAAGAGCACTTGGTGCCTTGGCCAAATGGAACGAAAGACAAAAGAAAAAGTGACATTGAATTTATTCATGAATTTAAGGATAAATTCACATATTTGTTCTTTGAAAGTGAAGACAATTTGTTTTATTCATTTATTTATATGACTTACCTGAGATTGTTGTACAAGTTTCAATGTGATTGTCGTGTCGTACTAAATATCTTGGCCAACCATGCCACGTGTCGCAATTGGAACCTCCTGTAGTTTCGAAGAGTATGTCCTGAGGCTTCCATTATTGTCTATCGTTTTTGTTATGACTTTTGCCTAGGTGCTGATTACCCATCTAACTAAACCACATGTTGTATTCACTACAAATAATGGAGGCCTTCCAGTCAAATGGGAACACTCATTTATGTATTTATGTATTTGTTTGACTAGCAGCTGAACAGCCTTTGCTCTAATACTTAAAAAAATTTGTCCCTCTAAATTCAGAGTTTGTATCTACTTTTCTTCTGTTTGTCTACCTTTAAGAACCAGTTGTTTATTTCATTTAGATTCTATAGAAACCAAATTTGACCTTTCGTTCTTTTTTCTGTTTTCCATTCAACTTCTTGTTGCCAGGAGAGATTATGTTCAATATTGTTGAGTTCCACTAGGAAGAAAGCCATTCATTTTAAGTACTTGCAGTTTTTGATTCTTTGGTCTTGAATTTATATCAAGATTTTATAACCCAATTGTCACTTCCATTACTATTGTTAAGTCCTGTATCGAATTTTCGATCTAGTTCGAAACAGAGTTGTTTTCTGTTTAGGAGCTTTGCTTTGCAGGCAGCACATTAGGTGATTCTTTTGGGAATATATAAAATTTCTGCTTGCTAACTGATGTTGTATATTGAGCTCTCAAAGTGATAAAATTTGAAAGCTCTGATTTTGAAGTAGCGAGTGAGCCATTGGAATATGAGTACACCACAAAGTGAACACCAATTAGTTGATGAGAGGACCCTTTTGTTGCCCACAAGCCAAAATGAAGAAGCTCAAGCTGGGTTTGGCAAACCCAGCAGAGGAGCTTCTTTTCATGGGTCTGTGTTCAATTTGTCCTGCACAGTTATTGGTTCTGGAATTATGAGCCTGCCTGCTACCTTGAACATATTGGGGCTCATCCCAGGGGTTGCTTTGATCATCATAGCTGCATTCTTAACAGAAGCATCAATTGATTTTTTGCTGAGATTCAGCAAGCCTGGTTCAGCATTTTCTTATGGTGATGTCATGGGCGAAGCCTTTGGAAAAGTTGGGAAGGTTTTGCTTCAGAGCTGTGTTATAATCAACAATATTGGTTCTCTTACTGTGTATATGATCATAATAGGTGAAATTTCAATGCTTTTTCTTCTTCTGTTATCATTTACCAATTTTTGTCAAGGCTCAAATATTATAGGCATTCTGTTCCAGATTAAATCATGCTAAGCTTCTTGGTTAATTCTATTTTTTGGTTACCAGAGGATGTGCTTTCTGGCTCAACTTCAAATGGAGTTCACCATGCTGGTATTTTGGAAGAAAGCTTAGGGGTACATTGGTGGACTGGACGTGCTTTCGTTCTTATTGTCCTTACTGTTGTCGTAATTGTTCCATTGATATGTTTTAAGCGCATTGGTTAGTATTTCTTCCCTTGTTAATTTTTCTGTTTGGCATAGAATAGCTGTACATAGAGATTTACCAACAAGAAGACCCTTTCAAATTTGCCTGCAGATTCACTAAGGTTCACATCAGCTATATCAATTACGCTGGCAGTTGTTTTTCTTGTTGCTGTCATCGTAATCACAGTGTACAAATTAATACTGGGAAGCATAGAGGCACCTGCATTGTTTCCTAGTGTTACTGGTCTGACTTCCTTTCTAAATCTCTTCACTGCATTTCCTGTTGTGGTTTTTGCTTATGTCTGCCACTACAATGGTAAGCAAGTTGATCCTCTTCTTATAAACCAGTCTTCTTTCATGCACAGTGTTTGTAGGAAAGTGATCATCAAAACATTATACACTCGCAATCTCCATCCACATTATATAATCTGATATCTGGTGTGATGTCAAAACATAAATAAGCAGAAAATTCAGCAAGTTTCTGAAGATGCAATATAAGTTAAATGACTGGGAAGATAAGTTTCTAATCTAAAATTTTGAGGATGACTATCTATTAGTGGGAAACATCTTTGATCCTGTCTTCAGCAATGTCTCTCATATCATATCCTTGTCTATATATCTCAATTTCCAAAACTTCAAGTTGAGATCCAGCCATTTTATTTTGATGCAGTTCATAGCATACAAAATGAGCTTGAAGATTCTCGAAGAATGCCAGCCATTGTGCAGACTACAGTTGCTCTCTGTGCCTTTGTGTATGTGATGACCGGCGTGTTCGGGTTCCTCCTGTTTGGTGAATCAACTCTTTCTGACCTGCTCTCCAACTTTGACACAGACCTTGGCATTCCATACAGCTCTGTCTTCAACGATATAGTTCGTATAAGTTACGCAGGCCATATCTTACTTGTATATCCCATTATTCTTTTTCCCCTGCGCCTTAACTTGGACGGCCTTCTCTTCCCCTCAGCCAGACCGCTGGCTTCGGACAACGTGAGGTTTTCGTTGTTCAGCTCAGGGATCATTGTCATCACCCTCTTGGGTGCAATATTCATACCAAGCATATGGGTGGCTTTTGAGTTCACTGGAGCAACTGTTGGAGCTTTGCTTGCATTCATCTTTCCTGCTTGCATTGTTCTCAAGTGAGTTTTATCTTTTTACTTTCTGCTAGAATTTCTTGTATTTTAATCTTCACATTTGGTTTTGATCTTTTGTTTTTCAGGGACCCTCATGGCATAGCATGGAAGAAGGACAAGATTTTGTCTGTCTTCATGATCATTGTTGCTGTAGTGTCAAGTGTGGTAGCCATTTACAGTGATGCATATTCATTATTGACATAGCAAGGGCAATAAATATACCCTCCAATTTTTCATTTTTAATAATGTTGCTTGAGGGCTCTAACTAATCAATTGAAACATGTCAGATATATTGTCTGAATGAATGAATTGTAGTTGTAAAGGCAGACACAAGGAAAGAGAAGGAAATTATGCTTCTGCAACCTCTGATTATAAGGCTCAAGACTCTCAATTTTTTCCATTCCTGTAAAATTTGTTAAACATTGCACCATATTCTAATGATCTAACCACCTCTCTAATATGTAGGACTTACCTATGTAAGTTCATTTCTATATAAAAAATGCAAAGAACAATTGATTGAAACAAAAAAAACAAAAAGAAGAATAATAATTTGAACAGAGCAGCATGGCTTTTTTTCTTTTTTTCTTTTGGTTACTCACAGTGATGGGGCCATGGTTATAAGAAATTGTGAGTTTAGTACATCACACACACTACATGAATGTTAGGATTTGAACCAAGAATCTTGCGTTGGTAAATTCAGATATTACTTTTTATTCCCAGAAGTGCACGTTATAGTCGCGGTTTGTATTTTGTTTAAGGACATTTCTTATTGACAAAGGCAATAGTATATTAAACTCACAATCTACACGAATATCAAGACTCGAACCCGAATCTCACCTGAGGAAGTAAATACTCTCGCCACTACACTAGTGGTTCCCATGCTTATAGTCGCGGTTCTAAACAATCAACTGAGACTCTTAAACCGCGGTTTCCGATAGCGGTTTTAGCCCTAATAAAGCAAAAAATTCGTTATTAGCCTTTGGGTGAAACGGTTGGAACCCAATTTCCAATGGCCGCGAAAGAGGACCAAGACGAGCTCGCCGAGTCTCTCAACGATCTCTTTACCAGCGTCTCCACTATGGTCAAATCCGAGCTCCAGGTTCCATCTCTGAAACCCCAATTTTCAACTTTTCAAATCGATTTCTGCGATCATCAATTGATCTAAGAACTGAGTACTTGTTGATATGAATTCGTTTTGATCAGGGATCAACCAACCACCTGGACCTTTTGGAGAAGATGAATCTGAGAGTGGCCGAAGAGTACAAAGGCTTCGGTGACGTGGCCTCTGGGCTGAGCGTCTTCGTGGAGCAGCTCAAGTCGAAAAGCGGCAGCTTTGAAGTGTATGCGAAGCAGATTGACGTTATAGAGCAGCAAGTCACGGAGTTCGAAGCTGTGATTTCAGTGCTGGATAGATATGTGTCTATGTTAGAGTCCAAAGTCCAGTCCGTGTATCAGAATCCGTCTCCTTCCTAAGTTTTAAGTGTTTGTGAAAATTATTTTGCTGTTGGTTTAAATTTTGTGGCAATCTGTGGGTTTTTTTTGGGTGTGAAATCCTTTGAAATTGGAAATCAAAAGTGCCCTGTTTGAAGTAAACACACTGTGTACATTTAAAAGCGGTTTAGAGTAGTTTTACACTTTCGTTTGTATAAAAACAAAAGGCGGTTTGCACAAACTTCAAATTTTAGCAATCTGACAAAAGGTTTGCTTTGAGCAGTCGATCATGGAAACAGACGTGAACGATTGTCAACCGATAATGTATGTGGCATAAACGCAAGTATTCCCCTTCTAAAGATGAAAGCAACCTTCTTTGAAAGACTAATTTATGTATAATGGTAAAATGAACCATCCCAGTGTTTCTGCTATATAGTACAAGTATGCAACCAGCTGGTTCAAGTCATCAACAAGATAACTAACTACCATGTGCTTTTGTCAGCTTATCTTTCTGTGATGTTAGTTACGACGATAATAAGAGAACTTGCTACTTGTTTTGTAACGAGGAGGCTGCTTCCTCTTACGTCTTTGTAAGTTTTGCAGCATCATAGCCCGTGTTTTCCCGTCTGGTTGCAGACCGTTCTCGCGCATCTTCGTGTAAATCTTCTTTGCTAATTCAATTTTGCCTCTTAAGCACATTCCTTGAATGGCAGCATTATAAAGAGACATATCTGGTGCAGCCCACTGCAGAACAAGTAAACATTATAGAGGTCATTATCTTTGGGCATTGAGGGTCTAAACAATCCCAAAAGAACAATAATGCATGGATACAATATGAGTCAATTGCACCATTGATAGAAAGAGTTTTAGTTTCACTAGAAAGAGTTGTTTTATACATAATTTCCATGCTATCCCATAAAAGCAATGATATGAGATAAGCTGAGGCACAAAATTAACATAACCCTGAAAAAGAAGCAAAAAACTTACATTCAGGATTTCCTCCACTTCATCCCATAGAGAACCCCAAATGCAACCCCTTATTAGTGATAGATAAGTAAATATGTCTGGGGTGCACTTCTGGTGAACCATGTGCTCATAAACTTGCAATGCCACTTCAGGTTTTCTTGCCTTCTCACAAGCACTGATTACAAGATTATATGATGCAGTTGAAACTGACTGCCCCGAAGCTTCTAATTGCCACAAAAGCTTCAGAGCTTTATCCCATAGTCCGAGCTTTGAGCATGACATTAAAGCAATATTGTACAAATGTGAGTTCAATTGAGAGCCCTGACTTGTCTTGATACTCTCATAAAGCCTAAGGGCATCATCATGTCGTTTTGCCCTATACAATGCACCAAGTAACGCATTCCATGTGTAAGCATCGGGTGAATGACCCAAAGATTTCATGATATTATATACCCTGAATGCTAGTTCAACCTCCCCAGCCTTCCCAAGTGAATTTATCAATGCATTGAATGCAACTGCATTTGGCTTGAGGCCACTGTCCAACATACTTTGAAAGATGTTTAGCGCAAGATCCCACTTTCCGTCCTTTGAGCATGCACCAATGATAGCATGCATTGTATCATTCCCAGGTTCAAATTTGTTTTGAATCATTTCATTGTAAGCATCAAGAGCTAGTTCGTGCTGACCACAACGAACAAAAATGCTAACTAAGAGGCAATAAGTAACTCGTGTTCCAGTAAGGCCATTCCCCTTAATATGTCTCCATAATCTCTCAGTTTCACACCAATTGTTCACTTTACCACAAATTGATATCATTGTGTTATAGACGATGGTATCAAAACTGTCCCTCGCTTCACTTTCCTCTTCCATTGCCACAAACATTTCAATGGCAGAGCTGCAGCCCTCAGCAACCGAAACTGCTTTCAGTATTAAACTATAAGTATGCCCTGTGGCTAGCTTCTCTCTCTTCATAAATTCAAATACTCTCAAGCCATCATCAAGTAACTCATTTCTCAAAAGGCAAGATAATAACGAATTACATGCATGTAAATTAGGAAGCAGACCTGATAGTTCCATGGAAGTAAACAGTTCCAATGCACTTCTAGTTTTGTTTGTTCTACTAAGCACCAAAATCCGCTTTGATAACGTTTCTTCATCCATCTCCTCTAAAAAGCTTACCCTATTTACATTCAATGAAGCCTTCCTTTTTAAACATGATTCGGGCTGAATGGGAACCTCGGGTTCAATATCCAAGTCCTCGTCAATTGCCAACTCTCCCCAAGGAGGCAATGTCTGCTTAACAAAAGAAGCTTCATAGCCTCCTTCTCTTTGAACCACTTTATCTTCTTCCTCTTCTTCACAAACCAAACCAGATTGGACACCAGCCACCATGTTTGGTAAAGTCAGAGATTTTGCCTTCCTTGTACATGCACTTGTCAAATTTATTGGCAGCATATTGGGTAACCACATAGAAACTAAACACTGACGAGAATGCCGATAGCCAATTTTATGCACAGAACTATTTGGGTTAAATGGTTTATGTTGGAAAAGAAACCCATTTGACATAATCACTATGGAAACTGAAACCCTCATCACATCCCCCATAACTGAACCCAGAATTAAAAACTAACACAGAAATACACAAAGATACAAACTTTGGTCTTTCTTCAACCATATGAAGTGGTTTGATGAGAAAACTAACCTCAAGAGCATGACCCAGTTTGATAATTCAGCTTGAAAGATGAAGATGAAGATGAAGCTCACGCCCCTGTTCCATCAAAACAACACCTTTCTCAAGCTCCAAGCAAGTATTTTTCATGGTGAAAAAAAATTCTAAATTGCAACAAAAATCACTGGTTGAGAAGACCAATAAAACCCATCAGCTGGAAAACTATAGCTCATAATTTGGTAAATTATGCTCCTTTTCTTCTTCTTCTTCTATACAGGAGACAGAAAAGAGAGCATATATCTCCATTTGCTGAGAGGGACCGCTTTGTTGAATCTGTTCTGCTAAATAACATCCAGATACGACAACGTTTTGTGCCAAAAAAACTGAACCGGAGAGCGAACTCGTTTTACAAATAAGCGCCAAAATCTTAACCCGGCCCATAGGCCCGGCCCATTAAATTTGGCTGTCGACGGCACTCTAAGGCTCAACGCCTCTGCCTCTCTATCTGTAGCACAATGACGACCGCCATGGCTCCTCCACCAGACCCCGTCCCCGAAACCCTAAGCAGCGAACCGGCCGAAACATCTTCGTCTGCAATTACGATGAAGCCCCCAATGGGTCCTCCACCTGCCAAAAACCCTAGCCCTCCGCCACAATCTGAAGCCCCTATCGCCGAAGAGCAACCCCAATCCAATTCATCGATTAACGATTCAACAGAAGCAGCTGAGGACAATGCCAAGCAGACCTTGAAGCCCCAATCTCAAGGCTTTGCCGTTCCCTACACGATCCCTCCCTGGAGTGCAGCTCCATGTCACCAGTTCCAACTCGAGGTCCTCAAGGACGGCGCTATCATCAACCAATTTGATGTGTAAGCTTCTTTTTCTTATTACTTTTCCGTGGAAGTTAATTTTTCACGTTATGCTATAGCGTTGTAGAAGATGTTTCTGATTGAAAATTTCAGATATGAGAAAGGAGCTTACATGTTTGGCCGTATAGACCTCTGCGACTTTGTCCTGGAGCATCCAACCGTTTCTCGCTTCCATGCTGGTAATTAAGCAATTCTTTTTCCTTTACATTTTAACTTGGTGATGTTTTCATGTGTGTATGTGTACTATAATTGTATTGCATTTGATTTTATTATAGATTCAACAATTCTTAGGCTTAATGCATTCTAAGAGATTTTTGCGCTAAATCTATAATGGTGACTTGAAAATTTTCCAGTCCTCCAGTTCAAGAGAAGTGGGGAGGCATATCTTTATGATCTCGGCAGTACTCATGGTACTTTCATCAACAAGAATCAGGTATTTCTATGCAGCTGATTGCTTTCCTCACATTGTTTCTATGCCTTGAAACATTGGATTGTATTTTGTTGTGTTCCATGTGCTTAGTTTTTTATTCTTCTAATACATATTTAACATTAATTGTAATATCTGTCTTTCAACCTTGTTTTTGGCTTTGGGTGTTTTTTTCTTCTTTCGGTTTAAAAATGCAAACTTGCATTGACCTGGTCCATCTTCAACCTGTTTTCAAATTAGGAATTAAGTTTGTACTGTGAACAGCTGGGGTTTTTGTATAGTCTCATACAAAGGCTCTTGTTGCTATAAATTGTGAGTATTTAATATTGTTCCTAACCATTTTCTCATGCCTAATAATCAGGTGAACAAAAAGGTTTATGTGGATTTATGTGTTGGTGATGTCATCCGTTTTGGACAGTGAGTATCTTATTATCTTGATCCCAATCCATTCACTTCCTATGTTGATCCTTATTTTCCCATGTTTTATGACTTAAGAGTTCTGAATGCTAATCTATTAGGTACTTGAATATATTAGGTAATGAGTTTTAGGCATTTGACAAAGGATAGTTACTTAGGATTATCTTAAGGAACTTATCAAGGATTAATTTATAGGTGACTGATTTTTTTACAGATGACTTATAGTTTCTTACCCTTTTCTGATTTATCAGATAGTGCTCATAGCCAACTGCCAAACCCATTGATATGGACCTAGAATGCATCATTGTGGAAAATACATTTTTTTCTTCTATGAGACACTTCTGATTATTCTTCTTTTTGTTTTTATATAGTTCATCTCGTCTGTACATTTTCCAAGGACCATCTGAGTTGATGCCACCGGTAAGACTTTCTTATTTAAATCTGTATGTGTTATATTTCTTTTGTTCACCTGATTATGAAGAATTGTAAGAGGAGATTTTCTTGAGCTACAGGAGTTAAGACAATGAAAATGAACTAAGCACTCAGAATATGTTAGCGTTCTAAATAGTTGCATTTTCTTTCAGAAGAATCCTCAAGAATTTTTTCTTTACAGTTAATTTTGTAAAGAGTATGTTAATGGGGTCAAGTTAGGTTTTTCAATTTATTCATGTCCAGATTTTGTTCACATCAAGCATGGTCAAATGGCTCATGCAAATAGAATTGATACCACTGCTACCAGGTGTGGCTTGGGTTGCCTAAAAAAGATAGCAGCCAAGTTAGGGTTCAAAGCAGAGCATATTCTCATGGACAGGTCATGGATTATTGTGTGGTTTTATGTTGTAGGAAAAAGACTTGAAGCTTTTAAGAGTGGCCAAAATGCGTGAAGATATCCTAGATCAGGAAGCATCACTTCAACGAGCAAGACTGGAAGCTTCTCTTGCTGATGGCATCTCATGGGGCATGGAAGAGGATGCTATTGAAGAAGCTGAGGTATGTGGGATTTAATGATCACTTCCTTTTTTAATTATGTTTTTAATAGAGATTGACCTAAACTGCATTACATATCCTTCTATTTTCTTCAAGTATATGATGTTTTCTGCATGATGAATTGAAAGAAGATATTTCTATCATATATATCACTGATTTCTGTGGTTTTGGAATTTTAGGATGATGGTGAAGAAGTAACTTGGCAAACTTACAAAGGACAGCTAACAGAAAAACAGGAAAAGACGCGTGAAAAAGTGCTTAAAAGATTGGAAAAGGCAAGTGATTTTAATTCTTCTTGCTTTTTTGTTAATGAAATGCTATCTCCCCTGTATGTTAGATATTTGGTTGCCCACTGTTTATACCCTCAAGATATTTTCCCTGCTTTTAATCATTGAAATGCTATCTTCCTGCATGTGTTAGGTCTCTCTGTTGCCAATTGTTTTTACCTTCAAGATGTATAGTTAGCATCTTATTGTTTCGAGTTGTGTATATTGCTTGGTATTGGAGAAAAGCAGTTCTTGAATTGGTATTCAGAAAAGTCACAAGCACAACCAGTGTACCTGTTATGACCATATTGAAACAGTATGTGTTGCTTGGTGTTTGAGGAGAGCAAAGATACGCTGCCTCACTTTGACAAAACTGACCCATTCTCATTGCTTTCCATTTTTTCATGAGAATACAAAGAATAAAAGATTGGGAAACCTTTAAAGGTTGATGATAGAAAATTTGTTAATGCAGACTTGTTCTCCCTTTATCTAGACTGTTGAAATGGTTACCAATCAAATTATCCTATTAGAAACTCAACAAGTATTCTTTATAAAGGTCCTAAGCTTTATGGTAAATCTTATTTTTTTCTAATATGCTTTTTATTTCATTTTTCTTTTTGTAGATTGCTCACATGAAGAAAGAGATAGATGCTATTCGTGCTAAAGACATCTCTCAAGGTGGTTTGAGTCAAGGACAACAAACTCAAATTGCTCGAAATGAACAGAGAATAGCACAGGTAAATTCTTCACAAATAGGCATATGCTGGTTCATTTCTCCTTTACACTGGTAGTTGATAAACAGAAGATTTTTTGTGTCCAACTCCACAGAGGAAAGAGAGGGGAACCTTCTGGTTAACATTTTATTTGTTTAAATTTTTAACAGATTATGGAAGAACTTGAAAATTTGGAAGAGACGCTAAATGAGAGTATACGAGAAAGTTTGGGTGCACGTGTTGGGAAGCTATCTTATGGTAAGAAGAAAGGAGCAACTGACGAAGAAGAAGAACTTTTGAGGTATTTTATTAATAACAAATACCTATCTGGAAGTGTTGGTGCTTCTACTCTTAATGGTTGTGCAATAGAAAACTCAATTACAGCTGTGCAGAATGCTCGGACCATGTGAATTTGTTTGGATGGTTTTTAGATTTGATCAGAGTATTCTTATGATAGCAATCATGAAGTTGTGATTTCATGATTAACTGTGAATTTAGATGACTATTAGAAATGTCATGCTTTATTTGTCAGTAATATAGGATTTCTGAATTTATTTGTAGTTAATGATTGTAATGATTTGTTATTTTGCAGCGATGATGATGAATTCTATGACAGAACAAAGAAGCCTTCCAGTAAAAAGGCGGGTGAAAACCCATCTGTTGAAACCGCTGATACTCTTCTTGACAAGAGAGATGCTATCATGAAAGAAATGGAAGAAAAGAAAGAATTGCTTTCAATTGAGAAAAACAAAATGGCATCAAAAACTACAGACGAAACTGATGCTGCAGATGCACTGGATGCATACATGTCAGGGCTTTCATCTCAGCTTGGTGAGTGTTTTGTGCTACCACTTATTGATGATAATTGGTTATAGGTGAGTGTTTTCTGCTTTCACTTATTGTTGTTGCTTTCCTTCTTGTTAGTGCTTAATAAAACTGAGGAACTCCAAAAGGAACTATCAGCTCTCCAGTCTGAATTGGACAGGATAATCTTTCTTTTGAAGATTGCTGACCCATCTGGAGAAGCTGCGAAGAAAAGGGATTCAAAAGTGCAAGAGGTGCAAGAGTCAAAACCTAACAAATCTGAAACTCCTGCTCCTGCCATAAAAAAGCAACCTCCAATGGAACCAAAGGAAAGCAGCCAACCTGGAAAACCAGCAAATGACTCTATACTGAAAGAGGGAACTACAGAGGTTAGCATTAAATCGAGCACGGAGCTGGCAGCTAGCGAGATTGTAACTGATGCAACAGAAGGAAAAAACGTTGTGTATACTGTTGTAAAGCCACAGTGGCTTGGGGCTGTTGAAGACATAAAAATGGAGAAGGGTCATCAAGAGGCAGCACCTTCAAATCAGGACGAGGCTGGTGAATTCGTTGACTACAAAGACAGGAAGAAAATTTTGGAGAATGTCAGTGATGCTAAAGTTAACTTGGAATCTGGGATTGAAAATGCTGCTCCTGGTTTGATTATACGGAAGCGGAAACAAGTTCATGAGTCTAAAGGTAATGATAGTGATTCTCGTCAACAGCCGGCATCCTCCACAGGGGCTGAATTCATGGCAGAGGATGCTGTGGCACTGTTGTTAAAACATAAAAGAGGCTATTATGCACCAGATGATGAGACCCAAGATGTTAAAGAAGGGAAACAATTGAGCAAGGATAAGAAGAAGCCTAAACGAGTTCTCGGTCCAGAGAAACCTTCATTTCTTGATACTAATTCCGATGAAACATGGGTGCCTCCTGAAGGTAAAGCTATTTTGCTTTCCTGTTTTGTGTTATTACCTTCTTTACTCGCTTTTGTGAGGTGGGGAGGAGAAGAGTACTGATTGCTGATTTGTTTTGTCTTTTTGAAAAACCTTGTTTCGTGTTGGTGCTTATCTTTATGTTTCGTGCAGGACAATCTGGCGATGGACGAACTTCCTTGAACAGTCGCTATGGCTACTAGATCCGAATGCCCCCGTGGTCACCAAGAAGTGACAGTTTATTGCTTGAACCAACGTTTATGCGCCTAAAATGTCATGGATGGAGCAACAACTGGGAGACGCACTGATGGAGTTGTTTGGTAGCTCGCATATTTTGTAATCAGGTTGAAAGTTGAGGCTGGATTACGATCATGAAAAAGCAGTTTAGGGACTGATTGTACAGAGATATGAAGACACAAACAGATCTCTGAATCACTGTGGCAAATCCAAATGTAAAACCTAGTCCGATATACTTCAAAGTTTCAACCATTGCTTGTATCACTGTCAGATGGAAAAGAACAAGAAAGAGATTAAGCTTCCAAGTTCTCTAACAAGGTTTGATAATATAATGCCAACAAGTACAATATATTATTGTATACATTTTCATTTCCGGTTGTTTTTATGTACATCGTCTGATCATCATATAATATTTGATCGTACGATTGTGAATCTTAATAATCCATCTATGGTAATGGGGTGAAGAAAATTAACAATAAAAAGTCGAGCAAAATTGGCTAGTGCGCTGTACTGAAAAGGACCAATGGGCAAAATATTACTGTTTATATTAGCAAATGGGGCAATCATATAAATCATTTTTTAATATAGAGATTTATTAAATTATTCATGATTTCTTTCATAAAAAATTAAAATAAAATTTCTTTCATGATTTCAAGTTTAAATTTACTCGTATGACAGGCCCTTTCATTCATAGTCAAATTGTATTTTGATTAAATGTGAACGAATTGATTCCCAATTATTTACAAATCTGTTTAACCAAATTTGTCGCTCAAATTTACAAGAAAAGAATAAAGACATCAACATAAAACTGGGCCATGTAGTTTAGACTAGATATTGCTTGAATCAGCCACAAAGCTTTTGCATACTTCACAGGAATATAGACCATGTATTCTTATAAAGCAATAACATCTTTGTTTCTCAGCTTCCTCTACAGAAGAAGCTTGTTCCATGAACCAGCCTTGGATTAGCTTCAACTGCATATACGTGCATACGGGTATTCATAAACTCTCAAGTTAATGGTTGGCTGTACACGGGTGGCATATGTGCACTGAGATCTGAATGAAGAACCCTTTCCAGATATATACAGCCATAATGCATTCATTCCAGATATATACGGCCATAATGCAGCGAGTCTCTGCCTGGGTTGTTCGAGCAGGCAGCTTCCTTCTTGGCATGCTCATAGATAGCAGCAGTGTGTGAACATCAGAGGCAGAACAGACGCAGTTTCAAATGAAAGATAACTCTCCGTCTATTAGTTAAAGAAATACGGCGACTCTAAGACATCCCTCAAGTCAAAGTCACCCCGTTCAGGCAAGGGGGGGAACATTAATGCGGGAAAGGACTGCTGAAAGCTCTCCAATAACTGGACACAAAACAGATGATGGGTTAGATCACTAAGACAATACCATAAAATAAAATTGTTTGTCAAAGAATGCAGTTGTGATGCTTCATGATGGCGTAAACATTTCTTTTCAATTTAAACTTGAAAGGAGCATTTCAGAAGAGAAGATACTGTACATTCTCAAGTATTGGAGTCTCATAGAGTTCGACAAACTTTTCACGAAGTATCTTGTTCATTTCATCCACGTCACACGCATGTGTCCAGTATGAGTCATGAACTCCTGTAATCATATGTTATTACATAGCTATTGTAAGTGTCTACGTGTGCCTCTGAGAGAGAGAGAGAGAGAGAGGCAACTAATTACAATGGAGTGCACAAGAACAGACCTGCAAAGCTTAAGCCTGCCTTTTTACAGGCAATCGCAGTCATCATCATATGAGAACTATCAAGAGAATGAACAAAATTTGGTGGGAAAGCCGTCCTCTGCCTCTTGACCATGACCTATCATAAACAAAATTTAGTTTTAAGATTTGAGGCTCGGAAACTTAAAATATGTAAAACAATGCTCATTTGGTGATTTCCTTTTTCTTTTAGCTTTTATTGCCATAACGATGTGGTTAGTTAAACTTGTCAAAAATAAAACAATCAGGCATAAGGCAACCCAAAGATGGCATGGTTTTTTTGTTCCTTTCTTTTTCTAAATACAAAAAGACTGATCCAAGTTAACTACCATGATTCCAATGATGATGCGAAAACTACTAAGGGAAGGGCTTCATAATGAATCAACCATTTCACTACCATAGTTCTGTGGAAGAAGTTTTTGCACAAATATTAATCTGAAGGATTAACCAGTGAGAAGAGAGAGGAAAAAGTCCTCTGCTGCCACTTCCTGGGGCAGGAGGTGGAGAATTACATAGTGCAGGTGCAGAAATTTCAAATATTCCTTATCCAATTGTACAAAAGAAGAAAATATAAGTAAAAAACACATGGTCAGTGTTCCACGTATGAAATGAAATAAGACAATGCGTTGCTAGCAAAATCCTTTCAGTCTTAAAAACTAGAAAAATCTGGATATCTCAACTAATGTGATTATGAGTGATATGAGTGTGAGCTTGAAAATAACACTAAATGGCAGGACTAACAAGATAGAATTACCCACGATGATAACTACAGTACCTTTTCTGTTTCTCGCTGTAACGTCAAAACTTGAAGGGAAGTTTTAATCTGCAACAAATTTAACCATGAGTTGGTGATTGATTTAAACATTTAGTAACTATGAATACAATAAGAATATTGACAACCCTTGTCGACTTAGCAGAATTTGTAATACTCACAAGATGCCTTCCGAATTTACGGTAAGGTTGCACAACTGGAAGTCCAAGTGGAGTTGTCCACCGTACCGGTTGGTTCTCAGATGCAATTATCTGCAAATCAAGAAAAACAAATATCAAAAAATCAGGAAAACATTCGCACAGAGAGAGAACAACAAAAAACAAAAAAGAGGAATCTGCTACAAACTTTTGCACATTCGCCAAGCCAGCTCATGATACCTCGTGCAGCTTCAAACATCTCTCCTAAAGCAGTTAAGGTGATCTGCCAATTATACACAGAATCTTGTCATACAAAGATAAAATCCACATGTACACATGCTCACGTGCATATGAGAAATTATTTCTAATTACATGGGGAAGAAAACGACACCCTCACAATATGAACTTTCTATTACCTTTGCAGCATAACAAGCACAACCAAAGATCTCTGCATCATCTGAAATGGAACCACGTTCCTTCAACCTCCTCTTGATTTGATCCCGAGCACCAATGTAAGTGACACCATATACTGATGTCATCACAGTCTGCTTCACCAATTTCCTATCCACCTAAATTATGGCCAACTATCAGGGTCTACCATCAGTTGCACGATATAAGCAGGTAGTCAAAGAAATGCCAGTTCACACAAAGCAATCGGATGAGAAACACATATTTTCTGATATATCAGTAACCAGCACATGTTTTGTTACGGAATTTGAATGATATTAAGTTATTAACTCCAATATCAGGTTATCCACTTTGTTTTACTAACATATGCATCAAAAGAATGAACTTAACAGTTGTAAAATCAACCTGATTAATTAATAATTTTGCACGCAATGCCTCTGGAAAAACTACAGGATCCTTCTGTGCATCTCTTCTCATGATTTCCAGTACCCTGCACCGTGAATTTGATACTTAATTATCATAATATTACTTACTCATGACATGATGACAGCTTCCATGGAAATTGAGACAAATAAAACTCGTGTAAATTATGGGGTTCTATACCCATCATGTGATGGAAACCTATGCCTTTGTCATAAACCGCTTACCTAACAGCTATTCCTGAGTAAACATCTGCAGGCTTCTCTCCTGTAACCAGATTGACAGAAGCTGCTCCCAACTGAATGGAAACTTTCCAATGAGACTATATATGAAACAAATGATGCAATTTCTGCTATACCATAGGTCGACAAGGGAGGGAAGGAGGGAGAGGGTGGGGGAAAAAGATGAACCATGTATGACCTACCGTAAAATAAAATTGAAAGTAAGAAATACCTTGTCTCTTCCAAGGGCAGCATAGTGTTGTAAACCATTGCACGAGCCATCCTAGAGAACATCAGTTAAAAGCAAGAAATGTAAACATAATATGGTTTAATGAATAATGAGAGGGCAGGCACAATTTATATTAAAAAGAGCTATTGCTTAAGCAAACAGTCCCTCATTTGAAAAACACAAAATCACCTGATAAGTTACCTATAGGCTACCATACTAGATAATTCCAGTATCCAACACTTAACTAATGGAAACAAAGCCATCTAAACCTACTTCTTCGGTTGTTTCAACATAGACCTCAAGGAAGGAGGTTATGAGTATAAGATACAAATCCCCTCAGGATTCTCCTACCCCACCTATGCATGTGTGAACAGTAAACCGCAGAAAAGATCTATGCCTTACACAAAGCATAGATCTCTGCTAGCTTCCTTTACACAAGGCAGTGCACACATTTATACTTTTCCAGTTTAATTCTGTTATAACTCTTAACACAAGAAAAATACATAGAACACAGAATCTCCTTCAAAAATGCCCGAAACCACATAATTTAAACATCCAAAACTAATTGATTATTTGTGGGACTCCCTTTGTGAAAGTACCTGATGTACAGGAATATGTGAAATAAAAGTCTCTGGAGAAGAGCTTCTCAAAGCTTCAGCAAGGTTAATGCACACAGCCAAGCATTGAAATGGATCTTCTGCCTTCAACCACCAGCGCCTTCCTTCTAGTGGTTTGTCCACAGAATCAAATATATCATCTAAGTGATTCTCAGTAAATGCTATTCGACCCTCAAGGGATAATTTGTCCACACCACCAGCATATAGATTTGCCAAGTGTATCTTCAACCAACTTAAGCCTGACTTTCCAAGGGGGCGTCCCTCTTGAAACTCCAAAATACCCCGGCATACATCTGAACCGAGATGATTCAAGTATGGGTGCATAGGATATGCTCGGCCCCGAAAGTCAAGATTGTGTGGATAGTAAAAACCTTCTTCATCCTTCATCTTCCGTGCTACCTGCTCCTCCGTAAAATAAGTTTCACATATTCTAAGTATGTTATGGTTAATGAATTCACAGAAAGTGAAATAAATCTTACAGCTAGTTTAAGTTCTATGTCACAACGCTGTGAATGCCTCTCCATGTTCTCTTTCTTCACAGACTTCACCTTCCATTTCCATTTCTTAAGCAGTGTTTCATCTTCAGTATCTGGTTCCTCTGGTAAAGGAACCTGAAATATGGAAATATCAAGAAGACAAGCTTCAGATCAATTTCAATGAATTAAAATTTCCTGAGATAGCACAAGATTAATATCAATAATTTGGAAGTAAATGAAGGAGTGTGCAAAAAAAAATTCAAAAACTGATTAAACCACCAGTTTGGTTTTGGTCTGTTTGGTTCAGTTTTTTTAACATTGGTATTGTTTGGATTTTGTCAAGTATGTTAAACGTTAACCAACCAACCTCTAATATGTCCTTCTCTTTTTCTTTTGGGTGGGTGGGGGGAGAGATTGGAGTACTATAAATTAGAAAATAATTAAGAAGGCAAGTACATTATTTTTATAGGAAAGGCATGCACATTAACTGGAAATATTTCAAAGAAAAGAAAAATATGACTGATAAACTCACATCATTACGGTCCACCAGATCAGCGAGATGGCCTCCACTAGCCCATATTCTATCTACAACACTAAGTACCCTCTTATTAACTCTCCATCTGGTATTCCCAAGGGCGTCCAGGGCCTGTCCAGGAGATACACAAAATTTACACATATGAGAATCAAAACAGAAGGCACCACACACTTCATGTTGGTCGAGTTCAATAAAAGTTTTCATGAGGACAACATTTCTATGTATATAAACCTTAAAAAACCGGTTCCAGTTGCTCCCTTGGGGTCCTCTTAATTGCTTCACGCTGCTGTCTAGCTCCATGAATGCGCATGACATAGGATGGTAGGAAAAAGTACCCTCCTTTGTCATAACTGCAAAAAGACCCAAAATAAGGGGAGTAAGATGAATTTACAAAAACACAAAAGAGGATAAAAACAGGCTAACATCTCAAAAAAGTAAATCTGAAATTATGTCTCATAAAGATCTAAACAACAGTAGGAAACCTAAAAATGGGTTTTTTTTAATCATTGGTCCTGACTGGTTAGCCAACCAAACAGAACTCTGAAGAAGTTGAATTCCCCTTCTCTATGTCCAGATGCACTAAGAAAGTTGAATCATGCCACCTTTAAAGTTTGAATTTATTGGATTCACCCTACTCTATTTCTATATCAAATCCTATTCTCCATCTACATCTTAAATCCACAATAATAAAAGCTCTCTGGAAAAAAAGTGAGGGTAAAATGGTGGAAACTTTTCATGAAAAAGGTATGTGTGAATAGTTTAGTGGATGAAAATAGAAACACCCTCTCCCCATGCTAGTTTGAAAATAATTAAGATAAACCTGAACTTTAACATCTATGATGGTGAAAGCACTTGATTCATTAAGCTCATTCTTCTATAATGTTGGATTTGTTAGCAGCTCTTAAGTGAGATTATAATTTTTTATCTAGTGAGCATGTTCTATTGTACATCCTTTTGAGTTGTAATTTTTTGTTTTTACTTGTTATTTCCAGATAGCGGATACCTTATCCACTCTTTGTATGCAGCTTTCCTACTTTAATAAAATTATGTTTCTTTTCCAGAAAAAAAAAAATTAAAGAACTGCAGATTTAGTTTCCTACTTGTATCTTGTATCTGATGATCTTAGCAAGAAGGGAGGGAAGGCTAGGGGGGACGATATTGAGGAAATATTAGAATAACTTCTACACATCCCATCCCATCCATTACCAATTTTCTGAATTTACAAAGCCTTCAATCTGATCATATATGATCTTAAAATAAAAGATTTTAAAAAAAATGAACTATAAAATAGGGCAAAACTGGTAAAACAGAACTGATTTTTCCATACCCAGTCCAGTTCAATGGCGGTACCAACATCGGCATATAAGGAATCACCACGTGCCTTGCCTGTTTAAACAGTAACAATTATTAATATGCACTAAGGAAGGAAATAAAATTCCTGCAAGAATTTCTTGGCATGTGTCCTTTGGCAGGAAATGAGAAACCTTATACACAAGTAGTTTAGCCAACACTGTATCACCTGCCAGGGACAAGTGAACAATGCTCTACAGACGATGTTATTAGCCTTGAATCAATTTCAATACTATCAAACTATCTTATCTATATAACATTCCTAGATCGTGAAAAGAAGAAACTATTAAATTTAAATATATATAGTTGCCTAGTTCCAAGTGTCAACAGAAAACTTCAATTGTTTCAAGACTAACAGAACGGAAAAAGGATCGGATTTGCTTACTGTTTTCTCAAGGCCTTTGAGAACAAGAGGGTCACATTCAATAACACCATATCTTCTGCTGGCATTCCTGTTGAGAGAAAATTCCACATCATTATTCAAAATTATTCGGAGGGAAGGGGGAGGTATAGAGTTATCAATAGGACAGACTAATAAATACTTTGCATCTTTCGCAACAGTCCTAAATGTGTGTACAAATGCAGGTCGTATATCCGGTGGACCATCTGCTAACTGGTCAGCTGGAGGTTGTATAAAAGCTGTTTGAGTCAACAATTCAATCAAACGACTGCCGACCTAAAAATGTACAAAGGGAAAAAAGCACCCCTTTAGAATGCATGTGAATAAAATGCTGATAACGTTTTACCAGTAAAAGAAATATGCCATGCAAACCTTAGCCCTGGCTTCCAGGCTCCATGATTTTGAAGCATCATGTTTGCTCACTATCCCTCTCACTGCTTTCAGTTTTTGTTTTTTCATCAAATTAGTGACTTTTTTATTCAACTTCTCTCGTTCCTTCATTGCAGCATCAGACTCCCCATTTTCCTGATCTTTGTCAACCTTTTTCTTTCTCGTCATTTCCAAGAACTTGTGTATTCTAACCTGATGCATTGAAGCAGTGACACATCAGTGCTCATCTAGGAGAGATGGGCGGGATGACACTGTGTAGAGTAAGAAAACCAAGCCTTAGGAATGCTGCTTTACTTAGTCCAGCTAGAGAACAATAAGAAACAAAGAGCAAGGCACTAATGTTTAGATTTTTAGAACGTGCCTCAAGCCAACGTCCACACAAACTTGAACATGCTTTGAAACAAAGGCAAAAAAAGGAATTTCACTACAGCATCACCATTAAATGGATTCCAGCAAAGACAAATTAAACTAAACGGATAAATAAATAAGTAGATGACCGCAATTCTACTCATGAATGGAAGAGCATGGACTATTAACCAAGTAGATGAAACCGAATCAAAATGTCCATGAAGAATATGAGTAAAGCAAAGTTCAAACCTCCTGCTCAATGGCTTCACCTATCGTGCAAGCAGCTGCTACCACCCTGCAAGTTCCATGTTCGCCTCCGGTCATCAGCAATCCCATCAACTTATGCATTGTAATAACTGACATCATATCAGCTGGTAACTGATCAATATACGGTGCATAAGCTGCCTTATTCTTTCCCTTCCGACACAGGTCTTGCTCTTTGTCAATGGCATTGCGCAAAGGCTCAAACCAACCAAGAAACAAAGACTTCATGTATGGCAAATTGGGTGCTAACTTCTGCTCACACATGTCCATCATAAGCTCCCTGTACTCCTTGGCCGCCCGTTCCCATGCTTCAGTTTCAATCTTTATCTGTCTTCTCTTAAGCATGTGGTACTTCCCTTGCCCCATTCCTCTCGCTCTATTCTGCCTAGTCCGCTGCTTATATTGGGCCTCCCTCTTCTCCTCTATGCTCATTTGTTGCAATAATTCTTGAACTTCATCAACAACAGACACATCTTCCTCAACATCTGTGGAAGATACGGCCTCAGCTACGCTCGCATACCCTTTGGGACAAAACCCATTAAACCCAATCGGATTCCTCACAGACCAGACACTGGGCTTACACATACAATCCTCAGGTGAAGAAATAGTACCTTTCCCACGAAAACCCACCTCAGAAAACCTCAAGCTTGAACAAGAACTCAGCTCAAAAGGCTTGAAATTTCCCGGGAAAACCGATTCCTGGCAAATACCCAGAAGGCTATAAGCTCGTGAAAAAGACTGCGAATTGATGTGAAACCTCTGCTTCCTCGAAATGGCTTGCTTAGCAAAATTTCTCCACACAGTTGTTGATATCATTGATGGATTTTTGTGGAAAATTAAGGGGCTATGAAATGTAAAATTATTGCTGATATTTGCAGGGGACAGTGGGGTTTGGCTTCTGGACATCAAATTCAAATCAAATTTTTTTGGAGTAAATTAATTGATGAAACTGGGATCAGAGGAAATGGATCGATGAATGAATTTGCAGAAGCAATGGAATTCATAGAGACTGAGAAAGGGGGGTAGTAACCAGTAAGCTAGCAGCCGCCTTAGGCCCTTAACCCTTTCTTAAACCCTGTCTTTGATATTTTATTGATCGAACGCAAAGCCTCGCAACTCGGATTTTTGCTTGCCTTGGTGACTGACGGAGTCTTGGGGGGGTTTCTACAATATCTTTGAAATCTTTGCAAACTATTTATATGTATGGATGATGATGATGTTCTGCCCCTCCCCCTTTTTTTTTTTTTTTTTTTTTTTTTTTTTTTTTTTTTTTGGCTATGATGTGACTAATTAAAACTTCGTCCATGATTAAAAATAAAATTCAAAATTTTGTTTATTAATAGAGAAATGGACTTGTACATTTTCAGATAGGGAAAGAAAGACTAACTTTTTGTTGTAATTTTATGTAAGATAATATTTGTTCTAATAATAATTTACTTATTATCTTTTATTAATAATAGGTACATTATTTTCAAAATGCGTTAAAAGTTGGTTATATTATTTAAATAATAAACAAATTCATACTAAGTAAATTATTTTTTGACGTGACACTCACAATGTCACGTAATATTACTAATTTATTTATGTTGTAACACATGTATGTTTATTAATTTTATACCCAAAGTCTATGACACGTAAACATTGTCATTTGCTCACATTTTAGTACTTTAATTAATAACACCACATGATAATGTGATAATAACACCCTAAGTCTATGTTTTAAGTTCGAGAGATACACCATATTACAAATTTACAAATGGTTCTTTTTTGTCACTATAACGAAAATATGACAATCAACAAAAATCATTTATCTCAAATTGATTCTAAATGACAATCAACAACATAACACAGAGAGTGTAGTCACAGCGTGCAAGTGCAATAAACACATCCTGCATAAAAAATAAATAAACACATCATCAACAAACTGTATGGCACTTGAGCCAAAATTCTTGTACTAACTTTTGCCTGCCATTTCTTGTCATATTTTCATATTACTACATCGAAAGTGAAAAAGTATTCGTAGCATTCTGTGGTCTGACAAGTCTAACAAAGAGCCAATCAGAAAATTTGGCATATCCATGAATTTGAGAGAGAGAGAGAGAGAGAGAGAGAGAGAGAGAGAGAGAGAAGAGGGGTTAGATTTATTAAGTTGGAGAATTAACTGAGATACATAATTTGCCTGGTCTAATAAACTTCCTATTTTTTCCTCTAAGAAAGAGAAACAATGACATTTATCCTATCATTCAAGCCCCCATCCATGATGAGTACATCTTTCTTGACGTATACAATACTTGAATTCTCGATGCAGACGCTACATAGTTGGTTCTCATCCAGTAGAGACTTTTATCCTATCACCAACGACCCAATTAACCAATCAAATAAATAGAAACGGGATAGAATACAGATTCAATTTGTGAACTGATCTCGTCTCTTCAAGCACTAGTAGCTGTGGGCTTAAAACAATCAATATTGCACAATCCGACTGATCTGAACATCTCTCCAAAGCTGCCACCAAGGTTAAATTTCAACAATCAGAAAAACTAGAGTTGTATGTGTCTGTGCTACATTGTGGATGATTGAACTTTGAACAATAAAGCAAGTATGGATAGAAAAAAAAAAAATGGTTAATGAATAGCTAACCGGTCAATGCTATTTCGTGCTTTCTCTGGCTGATCCGTGCTATTACTTGCTTTTTCAGGGTGATCCGTACTCTTTCTTGATCCCTCTCTCTTTTCAGTGCTGGCCCTTGACTTCTCTCTGTGATCTGTGCTTAGCCTAGGATTTTCTCTATGGTCGGTACTTGGTCTAGAATTCTCTTTTTGATCTGTAGTGGAACAAGATTTCTCCCTAATGTCAGTGCTTCTCCGTGGATTTTCTGGTTGATCCGTAATTGGCCCAAATCCATTTCTAAGATGTGGATATTTCTCAATAGCTGATACAAACTTCTTGACATGCTTTATGTATTGTGGGTAGAGCTCCAAGTCACAATGATTCCCTCCTTTTATCCATAATGGTTCATACTTCTCCTTACAACGTTCCCAAAGCTGCTTGCCATGGGACCAATCCACAACATCATCAGCCGTCCCCTGCACAGAACAAAACAATCTGGAAAATAAGTATGCTTCTGGAAACTAAGCCATACATTTAATGATACCATAAGACAATGATTGCACTCTATATGCTATGCAATCGGAGTAATCAACAAGTACACTGGCAATTGGAAAAGAAATACAGCAAAAGGCATGTGTGTTTGACACCAAAAGAGCATCCCTTTTTCAGACCTTACCTTTAAGGTAGATGAAATGCGAAAAAATAATAATAATAATTAAAAATAGTCTTTTAATTTCATACCAAAATAAATCTCATGCCTTCTTTTAAGGAAAAAAAAGGCAAAAGCCATCATCCTGCGTAAGATCATTTACAGCCCATATGGTACTTCATGTCCACATTCACTTATTTTCTGGAGAACTTAGTACCAAATGGCACAATGAGTTTAAAAAATATATCTATCCTAGTATCCAATTAGACGCATTAAATGGCTATTCAAATTTGTTAACAACAAGCAGATATGAAACGTTAGTGCATCAGTGCACACATAAGTCTATGCCATCTATGTATATTAATAGCTTGCCATGTTTTTTGAAAAGAATAACTTGCCATATTTAGATTTACCAAATTCTAGGGAAATAGAGCATACAATTTAAAGAAAAAGAGATACTCACATGAATCACCAGAACAGGACAACTGACCAAGGGTATTTTGTCAATGTTCTGCACCATGAATGGGCCAAACTCTCATTAGCATGCATTCACTTCAAATATTATGAGAAAATTGAACCAAATCGTCTAAAACTGAGCAATCGATAAAGATTAAAAACCTTATAAATGTCAAACCAGTATGTCCGCTTCACCGGATACATGACACGAAGACCAGACATGATCGGACTGTGAAGAACCACCGCCCTCAATCTTGGTAACCGGGTTGCTAGATCTAGAGTGGGCCCACTACCAACTGATTGCCCATATAAGATAACATCTTCCTCCTTCACACCGTACCTCTCCACAAGGCATCTATATGCAGCTTCTATGTCTGCATAAGTGTTTTGCTCACTCGGCTGTCCATAAAGGAAAAGATATATATCTCATTTTGAACATTCTCCTAAGCAATTATAGCTAAGACTTGTTTTCATTTATCCAATGCTCAGTTTGGTCTCTAGGAAAGAAGAAATTTGTCTAATTAAAAAATGAATTAAGCAGGATGAAAAACTCAACAAAGGGGTGCATCAGGCGTTTTAAGTGTCTTTAACCCCAAGTAACAAAACCAAATTGAAGTTTCATTTCCTCTGACAAAAGAAACCCTAGTGAAATCAAATATAGAGAATTGTAACGATCAAATTAACATTTTCCAGTTTCGCTTCCCCTCCTCTACGGAGCTACGTTTTCTGGGCATCCAAACAAATTAATACAAATCCAAATCCCATACCTTCCCAGTAGATTGTCCGTACCCCGAATAGTCATACCTACAAAACACGCACAGAACCCCATAAGTTCAAAACTTTTCAAAGTACACACATATATTTATGCAAAAATAGAAACACACACACACTACTAAGCTATATATAATTAAACAGTGAAATCATAGATGCAGTTGACTGACCCCAACAAGTTGACTCGGAGGTGAAGACTGAGCTCGCTGAACAACTCGTACATCTGACCCAGATCAGCTGCGTTCCCGTGCGAGTGTAAAACTGTGAGCTTCGCCGACGGATTCCTTATGTACACCGCCACGACGTCGTTCCCTCTCTTGGTCTTCAGCTTCAAAACGTCCACGTTTTCCCTGGTCCCTACCCCAATCATCTTCAGCTTCCCACTCTCCTCCTCCTTCTCCAGTCCGTACGACGGCGGGTTCGGTGGGAAAAACGCGAACTTGGCCGCCATTGACGACGTGACTGCTCCCATCTCAAGCCCACCCAACCCCACTCCCCCCAATAATAAATTGTATAGACAAACGGAACTTTAATTTAAACTAAACGAATCTGGTCGTGGAAGAACTTGATTAAAGCTCATTTGAATTCGGGAGGGTTGTTCCCGAAAACGTCAAAATCTGGATAATAATTTGGTGACTGGTTAGTGGGAAAGTGAGAGAGAAAATGAGATTCTAGGGTTTGAAATCGCCGTATGGAGGAAGTAAAGAGGGTTTTTGAGCTGTGACAGAGAAAGAACGGAGGATATTCCGGCGTGGAAATGGAGGTAACCACGTGTGAAATGATTAAAGTTTAAGAGGGGGTTGTGGTCCGGTGATGGTGATATGAGAGAAAAGTAACTACAAGCGCTATTCTGCCCCGCCACGTGTCCTCTCGGGGCAGGCCATGGTCCACTGATCCTTTGAAGGGCCAGATTGACATACATTTTTTTTTTGGTTTTTTTTTTTTTATATTGTCTGTTTTAAAAAGGTTTTTCTTTCTTTTCCTTTTTGTTTGGGTTCTGTTGTAATGGCTGGAAAATGGTTGTGACTTGTGTCTTTGGACAGGTCGTCAAAAACACCAAGACAAGAGCTGTTTTTTTTGTGTATTTTGTGTGTTTCTTTTCTCACATGCCCTAGTCAAATTAGGCGTTTTTGAGAAAAATTTGCGTAAGTTGTTTGTTTATGTGAATTATTAACAGTTGTCGGTTATTCATGCACTATGTTCGATGTACGGTTAACGCTAATTTCTCTATGACGTGTAATTAGAGCCCAAATCTTCTAGATTTTGTAGCTTGAAATAAATCTTGTAAACCTAGGTTAGGGCTCATCTTGTTATGGTAGTTTATTTAAATTTGAATTCGAAGTTTTAGTCTGACGCCAGTTTTTTCTACTATCATAAATCATAAATTAATACTATGCAATCGCAGTCGTTTCCCTTCCTTTCTAATTTTTTTAGGAATCCTTTCTTATTTATTTGATTTTATTCATGCCTTCTAGATTCATAGGGAAATTATACATAATAATGGAGGCTGATCTGTTTCTTTGACTCATTGATTCTCATTATGCCAATTGCCATAAGTTTAGACTGTTCCATTCAAATATGGAAATTTTAAGACTTTTGATTTAAGCTTGAGCAACAACCCGAATTTTTTTATAAAACTAAAAAGGAAAAAGTTTGGCTCCTTAATATTAAGGAGTAGCTTCTCCTTATGACAAATGTGGTTTTGACACGTGTCAAATTATTTTAATATTCCTTTTTCCTTTGTGTTGAAACTTTGTCAATATTGTTAGAATTTGACGAGTGCCAAAACTCCATTGGTTCTAAAGAGGAGCTCCACCTCAATTTTAAGGAGCCAAACTCAACTAAAATGAGCACCATTGGCCAAATTTGATAATCAAAAGTAGTATGTCGTTTTGTCGTTTGTCAAATTGGTATGGGGCCCAAGTGTTGACCAACCCATAAACAGATTGAAGTTGTTTCGTTTGCTGATGACCCAATAAATTCGTGAAAATATGAGTTAAGTCATTTGGCTAAAATAGCATACATTGTCTCCTTCATTCGAGATCAAATTTATTTCCTGTGCATACAAGACATGAAAATACGGTTTCAACTTTGAACCTCTATTCCGGTTAGAATTTGCAACTCTAACATTTTGACATATAGCAAGGGTTTTGAGATTATCTTTTGAAGGTAGCCCCCCCAAAAAAAAAGGTTTATCTTCTGAAGAACGGCACCACATATATAAGACATGAAAATGACGGTCATCTCATCTCTTTATTTTCAGGTTGTTGTACCTTTCATGGGCCATCCTTCATTCCTACCATTTTTCAATAAGAAGTGAACATATTCAAGAGGTATGTACACCATTTTTCAGGTCCACTGGAGAGACATTGAGTAATTATTTGGGTACCGAATTTTCTGTCCATTGATCATTAAATTATCAGAGGAACATGCATAAAATGCAATAAATAAAAACAGTGACATTCTCAACCAGCTATTGACCATACTGCATACATAGCAATCAGTTCATATTAAAGAAGAGGAGAATCAAACACATGACTTTAAATGCAATAATAAACGGTCTTAATCACTTGAACTACAAATTTCTTGGTTTAGTTTTAAATCTTTGATGTGGTAGCATGACAAATTTTTAGCCTTTTTATAGCCTTTGGTTGTTCCCTTTGTGTTTTCCTGGTTGATCTTGTGACCTTGTTGTACTTTGTGTGCTTAGAGTTTTGCCCTCTTTTTGGTTAACGAGTTCATCTTTAAACTTCGGTCATCAACCGCAATTCATATGGACATTGGACATGCAAAATTCGGATCCAAAAGATGAAGGAAAATAAGTAAAAAAGAAAGGAAATCTATCTTAACCCACAACTTATAAAGAAATGGTTGTCAAACATAAATCCTTTTGAAGTTGGAATTTCAAAGGTGGAAAAGGAAAACCAAACCAATCCAATTCAACAAAGGAGAGGTCCCTAATTATTGTCAAAAAGAGTACTTGTATTTGAACTTATTATATGGATAGGTTAAAAGGCATTGATATCTTATTATATTTACGGGACTAAAAAGAATAAGTTTCGTCCGTAATTTGTGCACAAAATTTTGTATTTCTTCCTTTAACATCCCTTAAACTTCAAATCTAGTGAATTGATTATATTTATTAGTCCAGGTCTTTTATATAGAAAGGGACCTTAAACAGAAACTATAATTATACATTACTTTCTATTAACTATTAAGATATGAAGGTTGGATCAAACTTCTCTCAGCTACTCCATAACATAGACAGAGAGACACTTGCACCTTGCCTAGAGTTGACATGTGGTAAAGAACAATGCTTTTGTTTGGTGCATTCTGTAGATTAAACCTTCAAGCTCAACAACCACCAGAAAATAAGTGGAGCCCAGCAACCACAATTTAGTGGAGCCCAATAATCTATACCAAAAAGCTCAAGAGGTAATTCATATTTTGGGGAAAAAATACAGTGCTTATCTGCTCTTTATACAAACCACACCTAACCATCAATCATTGCCGTCCACTATGTCTGATGATAGCTTCATTAGTCAAACAACTTTATCAACTACTATTAACACAGAAAATCAGCCCCTTGACCCATTTATTCTTTGACGTGGCATCGTCTAGTTGGCTGGGCATCTGCACTATGCACATTACTTCGCACCAGATTACAACTGCAAAGACATATGTGGATTCTTCCTTGTCCGTTTTGTCAAATAGTGACAAAGTGAATCAAACACCAATGTAAAGAAAGAGTCTTTGAAGTTAGCCCCTAGGTTTTTCCCTCATTTCGATGCCGGAATTTGCTCATCTCTGTTCCAGCAAGCTTCCTTCACCAAGCAGAGCCATGGAAGATTGCTCAGTCCGAAGGTAACCCATCTCAATTCACAAGGTACAAGGAGGCTTGAATTTGTAATGGTAATTGATCTGTGCTCAACAAAATTCTATCTTTAACTTGAGCCATCTTACAATCTACAAGATTATCAATTTTGGATCTGACTAAAGATTCGAGCTTTTTGTATTAATCTCAACTGTAATGTTGGTTCTATGCTATGATTCTTAGAGCTGTTGGTATTTGAATTATGGGTTTTCTTATTTGGTGCTGGAAATTAGTACTTGAAATTGAAAGTTCTGATCTTTTGGGGTTAAGAGTCAGCAATTGGGTACTAGGGTAGAGCCGTCAGAGTAATATTGGGTTAGTTTGGGAATTGCCACCATGGATGGTGCTGGGGCATCTTCTGAATCTGGGTCTGCTGCGTCAAGTCTGAAATCTATGGAAAATGGGTGTTCTGGCAGGGATGATGGGTGCCCAAAGCAAGTGTCGCCTCTTAGAGGTGGTGGGTCGAGGAATACGAGTCCTTTGGGTTGTGTAAGATCAAGAAACACTAGCCCTTCGAGGCAGAAGGTAGTTAAGACAAAACCGCGAGGGCTAGATGAGGAAACGGCTTCTACTTTTGGTAAAGCAATTCATCCTGATGTTCAAATGGAGGATAATATATGGGCAATGTTGCCAGAGGACTTGTTGAATGAGATATTAGCTAGGGTTCCCCCATTTATGATATTTAGGCTCCGGTGTGTTTGTAAGCGGTGGAATACAATTCTACAAGATAGAAGTTTTCTTAAGTTCCACTCGCAAGTGCCGTCTCACGGGCCTTGTCTTCTCACATTCTGGAAGAACTCTCAGACCCCACAATGCTCAGTCTTCAGCTTACCATTAAAAACATGGTACAGAATTCCGTTCACATTTTTGCCACAGTGGGCATTCTGGTTGGTGGGCTCTTCTGCTGGTCTAGTTTGCTTTTCTGGGCTTGATGGCTTAAGTTTTAAAACCTTGGTTTGTAACCCTCTTACACAAACTTGGAGGACATTGCCAAGTATGCATTATAATCAGCAAAGGCAGCTGATAATGGTTGTTGATAAGAAGGACCGGTCATTTAAAATTATAGCCACTAGTGATATTTATGGTGACAACAAGTCGTTGCCCACTGAAGTGTATGATTCAAAGCTAAATAGTTGGTCAATTCACCAGATAATGCCTGCAGTTAATCTTTGCTCCTCAAAGATGGCATATTGCGACTCCAGACTATATTTGGAAACCCTTTCTCCACTTGGCCTAATGATGTACCGGTTGGACACAGGATACTGGGAACACATTCCAGCTAAGTTCCCACGGTCTCTATTGGATGGTTATTTGGTAGCTGGCACCCAGAAGCGTCTGTTTCTAGTTGGAAGGATTGGTCTTTATAGTACTCTTCAGAGTATGAGAATATGGGAATTGGATCATACAAAATTTATATGGGTGGAGATTAGCAGGATGCCTCCGAAGTATTTTCGATCTTTGTTAAGGTTATCAGCTGAGAGATTCGAGTGCTCTGGACAGGATAACTTGATTTGCTTCACATCTTGGAACCAAGGGAAGGGCCTTCTCTATGACGTGGATAAGAAGGCGTGGTCCTGGATTGCAGGCTGTGCTCTTCAGTCGTACAACAGCCAGGTTTGTTTCTATGAGCCGAGATTTGATGCTTCCATCTACTGAGAAGAAAGTTTTGCTTTGCAGTTCTTGTTTTATTTACTAGCCAGAGAATTATCAGTGCACATCATCTCCAGTTAGCATTTTTCCCTTGATCCATTCTTTGCTTCTTCTCCATATGGTGCTGAAGGGATTTGACACGGGGCTTGGTGGCTAATCATGTGAGTTTGAGGGATGCGTGGATTTGGCAATATGAGTGCATCCCAGAAAACCAATTTTTGTCATTGAGATTTTGTAGACTTTAATTGGTGATATTACCTCATATTAGGTCTCTGTGATGCCTAATGATTGAGCAAAGGCTGGTTGTTAGAGAAAGAACGTGGTCAGGGGGAAGAACTGTAAGAAGGCAATTTTTTCCACATCTTGTACACATTTTGAAACTATTAACACATCCAACCTGTACATTTAAAAGTTTACTGTGCCTTGCTAATTTTATTAAGTCATTATCTGAGAATTTATTTGATATGCTATTTGCTCTTGACCCAAGGCATCACAAGCTGCAATTTGTTACTGGAGATGTGTAAATATGGTGGTGTCTTTTGCTTGGTGATATAAGTTTTTTCCTTTGATCATTAGCATTTCCCCAGGCTAAAGTCTTAGGAATTTTCTTCATTTCAACCAGATTAGATTCATTACACAGTTTTGGAGTTCTGAAGCTTTTGATTTTTCAATAGATAACCTTTGCTAGTCTACTAGTTACTTCATCGAGGTGAGTAAAGTTGCTGTGGGAGTAGGGGCTTGTTGCAGTGCACTCCTCAGTCCAATCTCTATGGTTGTGGTTGTGCTGGCTGGCCCTGACAGGGTGACATCTCAAAAAAAAAACTTACCTATACCAGGGCTTGAAGGAGATTCCTCAACCTTAGCTTAGCAAAATGGACCCTTCGCTTTCAAATGGTTAAAGGTTCAATCCAAGTCCTTAGGCCTTTGCAGCTCTCAACTTAGCAACATTGGGCTTTTGCTTTGGAATGGTTTTGATAGGCCTAGGGAAAAGATTTCCTCTGCCATAAATAAATAAAAATAATAATTTTTTTTAAAAGGATAAAAAGAAAATGTTGTTCATGTGTACATGATGTGCCAACCCCCCCACCCCCAAAAAAAAACCAAAAAAAAAAACACTAACTAAAGGGAATCTTTTTCAGATGGATCCCTTGTAGCATATACACAAACACAAGCATGTGACATGCATATACAACTTCCTAAACCTCAAAAGCTTCACTTCACTTGGTACATGTCTACCTGGATCCAAATTTTAATTGGTCTTATTCGGATAACTATCAAAACAAATTGTGGAGACAATACAATTTTGGTAACAGGAGCCGGCTTTCTCCATGTCCAAGGGTTTTGGTTACTCTGTTCAAAAGCTTGCGATGAGAATTGTAGTTTTAGAAGGTGATAATTAAGGCAATATTTGCTAAATATATATGTGCTATGCTGGCCAGTATAAAAATATGTCTGGGACCGACTTGCATAGAAATGACACATGTTAACACATTTCTCAAGGTGAAAGCACTAGCATATAGTTGGAGGTCACGCCCTCGTGTTCTAAAATTGCAACTCACACAAACACACTCAGGAACTCTAACCCCCCTTGTTTGTTTAATTGGTTAAAAGCTGAAATGTTTTGAGTAATTCTATGTGAAATCACTTGTAAATGTCCTGCAGGCTCTTAATTTGATGCATTCTCGCGATGCTCTTCATGCCTCGAAAACAACTATCCCTTGCATGCTAAGTTCTAACCCTCTTTATAGTAAGTATCGGAAATAGATATGTTAAATTATCACGTGATTATAAAATAATAAGAAATAAAAAGAAAAAATTTGTGACAATCGAATAGTCAAATATTCTACATAACTTTGAAGGCATGAAATTTGACATCAAAATTGACATCCCATAAAGCAAAGGATCAATAGATCTTGAAGAGATGATTCAAGACCCCTCATCATATTGAAGTGTTTGATGTCTGAATATTCTGCTGTACAAAGACAAATTTTGGTTTTTGGCGGAACCCTTAAAATTTATATTGAGGGGGAGGACCGAATCTCTGACTGATCATCAGATCTTTGCAGCTCGGATTGACCCTATTAATTATCTAATGATATTTTCACTTACTGTATGTGTTGGCTTGTTTTGGTAACATTTAAATAAAAAATAACAGCTAATATCTGACTATTCAACTTGATCTTTTTACTGTTCAACTTGGTTAAGCTTGAAAGCAAAAGATTTCCATGAAGATTATGCACTAGTACCAACATATCTACCTTGCAAAATGCCAACAGAGTACAATTATAATTGATTTTAGTACTGCTGAAGCTGAATAGTACTGTATGGTCTTTTGACCTTCCTTTCACTTAAACACATCTCATAGTGATCCTGAACTAATTAAACTTTGCAATTAATAATTTGTAGTCTGGATGTACTCTAGATTGTTCTCTACTCTGATCATATACTACAAACGATATCTAAACTGCTCTAATTAATTTACGAGATGGGAGAATCGAACTCAAGTGCAAGAGGTGTGATATGCACACACTGCCGTGGCCAAACTAGCCTATTCCACATATGCAGAAAGAGTAATGTTAATGACACCTTATTTAATGACTTCGTTCCATGCATGCCAGTAGAGATATATCATACACAAAAATCAAAAATCAAAAATCCAAATTCATGTTTCATATTTCATATTTGATGAAGCTTCATTTAATATGCATCAACGTACGATCTTAAGGCCTGCTAACCTCTACAGATTCGGTTTAATTAACTCGTGAAACAACATTCAAAGTTTTGAAAACCGAAAACGCTGTCTTCCTTTGAATGGTTTATTCATTAGATTATTTTGAGTTTTGTGTTCTTCCAAGTCCTGTCTGTACCCACGAGAAATATTTTATGCAGGTAGTCTGAACCCTAGCTTTGACTTGGGTTTGAACTCTCTCTATAAAGCCCGCATTAGTCTCTCCAACTTTCCTCTCTTTTTGTTGTCAATCTAAAGATCACTACACTTTCTCTAGCTAGAAATTAAGAAGGAAACTACACGAAGATGCTACAGCTTACAAGCTTCATACTAGGGCTTCTTTTTGTTATGCATGCACTAGGGCACTTTACTACTGCTGCACATGCTCATCAAGGTAGATATACTAGTAGAAATATATAGCCTTCTCTCATATTAAAGCTAGGGCTAGGGATATCTCATAAAATTTTGGGAGGATTTTCTAATGATTACAATCTTGTTTTTTTGTAGGTAAAGAAGAGCTTTCTATGACTGGGAAACCTGTAATACTCTCTGGTCATAAGGTAGAGTACTTCTTATTCCATGATTTGTTTGTGCTATTATTGAAGTTTAGTCCTCACAGGGAGCTTCTTGCACTCGTCAAGTAACACTGCGCTATAATCGCGTTGTTATTTGCACTTCTACACAACAGTGCAAGAAGCTTTTCGAGGAGTGTGAATAGCGTTTCTCTTTGTTCTATATATATGATTAAGTATAATTTTTGATATATAAGCTAATTACCGTATAAGTATGCAGGAACCAAATACGAATGGGGTTTCAATAGCTGGGTCAAGGATGATAGGGCTTGGAGGAAGAAAAATGGCGGCACACAAAGTGTTGAGGAAATTAGAGCCTGCAAGACCAGCTAGCCAGCTGAATGGAGAGACTACTTCATCAAAGAATTCAGGTGCAACCCGTAGTTCTGAGGGAAATTGTGACTTTGAAGGAAAGGGAGATCTAAATGTAAAATGTAAACACGGAGATTATAAAAGTAAAACTAGCCCTTCTAGTGCTAAGAAGTACTTCAAAGCAGCTCATGATTTTGTAGCTTTTGGTGCTGATTATCACGGGCCTGCACATCATCCTCCAAAACACAATTGAGAAAATCATTGAAACCCAAGTTCGATCTTAGATCAGTCTTCACGGTCTTGTTGTTGCCAGATGCTCTAGTGAAAACATATGTGTGTGATAGATATATATATCATGTAGTAGCTAGCTAGCTAGTGTAGTTGTATGTATTAGTATTCAGAAAAAGATATATACATATATGTTGGAAGGGATTTCTCGCTATGATGCTTAATGGATGCAAATATTGCTTTTGTGTTCTTGGAACCAAATTTTGACATGTTGATTTTGATGAGGAAGAAGGTTAATAATAATAATGGTTCATGTTAGACATTTCTTGTCTGATTGCAGGTAAGGACAGTAAAGCTTCAAGTAACTCCCATGGAAAACCTCAAAACATACTGAACCAACAGGTCTCCTCTCTCTCTCTCTCTCTCTCTCTCTCTCTCTCTCTCTGTGTCACACACACACACACAAACTTTCATAAATCAAATTTTGATGTGCATGTAGTAGCTAGTACGCTTAAACAAAGAGGATTTTCTTTACCATCAGAAATGCCCCACCTTTTGCCTTTTAATTTGGTGCTAATTTGGTTATGTTCATACACATTTTCCAGGCCGATATCAATATATTGGAGCCAGCAACACTGAAGGCTGCTGCCAATAGTTTTGGAATTCCCAGAGTTCTTAAGCCAAAGCACTCTCAAGATTCCAAGACAAAGCAGCCAATTATCAGAGCTCATCAAAAGACTATTAATTATGATGACACTGATGATCATCATAAGTTGACAGATGAAGCAAGAAGGCTTCTTAAGGAAACAAGAGAGATAGTAAACCTGATGCATAAAGATTATCACGGAATGGGTCGCCGCAAGCCGCCCATAAACAATCATGAGCCACAGCATTGAGATTGAGTCTGTCTAAAACTGGTTTAGCTATATATCTAGGCTCACAATTTTGCCCCCTTCCCCCCACTAGGAATATTTAGTGATCAGTCCCTTATAGCTAGCCTATACAGAATATGGTGTGTGCTTGTTTAATTTATTTGTTTTCTTTTTTGATCAAGCATAGGAACTTTAACAAGTAGTGAACTGCTGTGTACATTAAGTTTGCCTTCATACACCTAGCCTCTGTGAAGTAATGATATATATATATATATATATATATATCATAATTTTGTGCCCTCTTCCTCCTTTATATAATCTAATTTATTGTTTTTTCCTTATGTAAAACATGGTAAAAGGTAAAACATATCTTTATCTCAGCCTTAAAATTCCACCAAATGAATTTGGCAATTGTGTGTTTGGATCAACTTCAGTTGCTCCTCCTAAAATATTAATGGATGGTCTCATGCTTGTGGGCTCTGGATCTTCAATATTTATTTATCAATTCACTGGCGAGTTTAAACATTTAGTTTATAAGCTCTGCTGCAGGAGAGTACAATATTATTATTTCCATGATTTCCATTAACCAAGAGCCTTGACAGAGCTAGCTTGATAGGTAATCAATCTTAATCAGTACAAATTAATATGACAACTAAAAAAGGACAAACTAATCCCATTTTTTAAATTGACCTTGCTGATGGGCTGATGCATAATGGATTATGTTATACAATTACATTTCTACAAGTTTCTTGATGTTTAACGGGGTGCAAACAGTTGAACCATTGAAGCAGCCTGTAGCTATAACTGAGGATACAGATTCAGTAAGGTGGAAAGCATCCCAGAAGAAGTAATTGTTTGGTTCTAAGCATGGTGCAAGCAATGGAATGCACTCTGAAGTCCCATCTGCCCAAGTAGTGCAGCATGGATTGCTTCCATCCATTAGCCCTGCTCGATTGATCCGTATCTCATTAACATCGAATTGATTAACAACAAGAAAAATCAGAGAAAGAATGAGACAACTTGGTTTTTGAAGTTTACCATATTTAACAGGACTTGTGATTGCATCATACCCGATCCAATTAGCTCGACCAAGAACAAAGAAAGAACCTTGGAAAGTGGTTGTCAAGTTTGCCAGCGTCACGCGAAGTTTTTTATTAAAAATTGTGGCTAGCTCGTTTGTATCTTCCACACAGTTTCCACCGTGGTTATGTGTCTTTGCAATTGATGGAATGCATCCAAGGGGACCAATTTCAAACATGACTATTTTCCTGGCTCCCAAATTGTACATCCTCTGCACTTTTGCAATAAGAACAACAAGCTTGTCATCCATTTTAACATTGAATGAGCAGAGAAGGAAGGGATGAGAGTTTGGTACCTCCAAATGGTTAGCAAGCTCATCCATTAAGAGTTGTGCAAATTGTTGAGGAGAGTAGCGTTGACTTGTATCAAACGCTTTGGTGTAAAGGTAGTTATTGATGAAATCATTGCTACCAATAGAAAACAGAAACATAGACTTGGATAGGTAGTGCAGAAGATCATGGGGATTTTGGAACTGTCCTGGCAAGTCTGACTTCACCGTTCTTTGAAACAAATCTATCTGGTCTTTTAGATTCAAGCATTTCCCCTGTAAAAGAACACCAAATAGAAAAAGAAAGAAACTCATACTATAAAACTATATATAGCTACCCTACTATAGAAAATTCATGCATAGTGGGTGCATGAACAAGATTGGCAGGATTGAATATCTAGAACTGGTTCTTCACAGACTCATGAGTCATGACTATCTTACAAATTGGCTTCCAGTTTCAGGTAGAATGCCACAAGAACCAGATGCATAATTCAGGCCTTTAAGTGCTATGTTTGATCCACGTATGCTCATGTATGGTGGAGGATATGGTAGCTCAAGAAATTCAGCTTAACAAAAAAGACAACACACAGAAACCATAGGTACAAAGTTGGAGTCAATAATATTCATGAACTGAAACCAAACCAAACCAAAGTTACAAGTACTTGTTTTAGGCAATAATAATATCACCTATAAAATCTGCCACTGTTCTGCCATTGGTAAATCTTCCAGTGACTCCCTTGACAAAATTCATCCCATAAGGCAAGTAATCTGCCTTACAAACAGTTGGTAAAAAATTATTGTTACCACTGTCAAACAAAGAATCCCCAAACACATACAATGCTGGTGCAATTGGCAAACCATGAATCTGCAGTGAATGAAAGTGCAAGGAAATTGTGAACAAGAAAATAAGTGACATTGGTTTCATTCTCATGTTCTGCAACATTGCTTTGATGCAAATGCTGAATTTGCTGCTAGTGCTGTGTGTGTGTGTGTGTATAAATATATACAATTTGTTGGGAGGAAAATGCGGATTGTCCAGTCACATGGAAGATCAATTGGTGTGAGCTTTTAATGAGGTGGAAAATTTCGGTTGAGCTTATAGTGAGGTGGGGATTTCGGTTTGGGGAACATGTATAGGTAACCGATATGAGATGAGTTGTTTCAACTCTTTTGGAAGTGATTGAATCAAGGCAGTGGTCTAATTGTACAACCCTTTTTCTTTTTCTTTTTCTTTTTTTGGGGTTGAAAGTTGCTTTATGAATTTAAGGGGTCCAACTTCACATTTCATGTGACCACAGCAGCTCCAAGGCTAACTGATGCTGCAAATTTTGGTTTTGGGGTCATGGATTGCCTACTGATCAGTGCTGATCATTAGTTTTGAAATATGGTGCAATAATTGGGCAATATTTACACAAGAGAATGAAACTAAGGTAATGAGCATGAAAAATGGTGATAATTATCTGATTAGAAACCACTTGATTGGGTTTCCATGTGAAAGTTTAGACTACATCCATCTTTATGATTGGGCTTTCAACCATGAAAGCCCCATTTTTTGAAGCGTGCCTTGCTGGGCTACTAGCATGGGCCCAAAGCACTCGCATTGGGGCATTGAAGCTACAAAGTAGATCATAAAGCATTTGTGAATGAAAAATGGTCCAAGTAGGGTTTGTGGCTTGGAATCATTCTATAATGAGGGCCTTAAGATGAAGCCCTATCTATTATCCGTACAGTACCGTCTAATCAATCATCTTTTCAGCTCTACCTAACCCTACCAAGGATATTAGTCTACGTAGCTCTAACTCTAACCAATCCTCCTCAATAGTTGAATGCTTGTTTGGGACAATATATATGCCAAGTCATGATACTCTTCTTAATTAGCAAAAACCAGTTCAAGTGGATGATGACAATATATAAATTATATAAAATATGTAAGAGAATAGAAAAACAACTCAAAAATCACATTATTTTCTTTAGCTGTATTTCTCTTTGTATTTACAATTAGTTTCATCTCTCTTCTTATCTTCGTTTTCTTGGTTCAAACAGATTACAGATTTGGGGAAGAAAGAACAAGAAGAAAGGATGGATTTGTTGGAAAAGAGAGAGAGAAAGAAAGAAAAAAAATCGAATGAATTATTGAAGTTAGGGGACCGCACCGAATGTTTCTTCCCATGAGCCCGCTTAGACCATGTCAACCCACCCCAAAAAATATCGTTTTGAAGATTGAGCACATTTGGTTGACCCAACAAAAATTATGACATAACCCACTTGCTAATCTAAGTTGAAGCAGCCAAGGATGGGGGCTTACACATGCAAGCATGTAAGACATTATTCTTCATTATCATTGACAATTTGACACTATTACCATTATTATTATTTTAAAAAAATGCAATTAAGGTATGTATGTCAGTGTATCGATATTTCAAACTAATCACACATTATCGTATATTTTCATATATTTTAACTTTCTCACATTGCAGTTCGTTATTGACTTGAAATTTATTGGCATTTTAACTTTCCACCAAGACCATGGAATTTATTTTTTTTATTTTTTTATTTTTGGTCAATGACCATGGAATTTATTCTGTGGACAATGAGCTCAAAGCGACAAATTGACCCAACCAAACAAAGAGAAAGCATAAGAATTAAAGTCGTCCAACATCTACATTAACGAGGCATTGGTGTTTGGTACGGCTGAATAAGACCCGAATGTAGTTTACAACTTTACCGGCTTTTGCTGTGCACTATGCGATATAATTCAATTCAATTTTGTTAGGCCTAGCATTAAATTATTATCTTTCCCTTTAACCAGTTAACGTTAAGCCCATAAAAAAAACCGCGTTTTCTTTTTATTCCATCAACTCCCTGTCCAACTCACCCACCTGTGTTTTTCCTTCAGTTTCTTCCACTGGCTGTTTACAGTTTCTTTTCTTCAACTGGGTCTCTGTAACAACAATCAGCAGAAGAGTCAACGAAACTGATCCCATCAACTTCTCTTTGGGTTTTCAGCTGGTAAGGTATGTGTGTTCTTCATAAATTCATGGGTCTTTCTTGATTTTGAGAATTTCTGCTTATTTGTGTCTTTTGGTTGGTTCTGATGCCTGGGCTCAGGTGTTCTGGTTTTGATCATAGAGCATGATATATAAGGTTGTGGGAATTTGGAAGGTTGATAGTTAATTTCAATATATCTATGTTGAATTATTGCTTTTTATTTTTTATTTTTTATGCAAATAAGAGTCTACCATTTATGCCAACTTCTGCGTCAAGTCTTGGTTGGCAGTACGCATACAAAGAAAGAAAGCCTCTTAACATGTAGTAATAAATTTAGTAGAAAAAAAAAACAAGAAGAAAAAAGGTTCTTTTGCAGTTTTTGAGTTTCTTTACTTATGGCCAGTTGATAGTATGCTTATACTTTGGCTCTATCTTTAGTGAAGCAAGCAAGACACAATTTTTATGGATAAAAATGGTGGATTTATTATGTCTACTAAAAAAGTTACACAATTTATATCTGGAAAGTGAACCGAGTTCGTTGTGAATCAGGCAATGTGAGGAAGTAACAGATCGTACATTTATTTCAGAAAGATATGTAGCATTCTAACTATTGTGGTTTTCATATTGTTAATCAAATATTATCATGTTTCCATTATCAATAATCCAATTGGATTTTGAATTTCACTTGTCATGCTAATCCATCATTTCTGGAACAAGTTTACATAATGTGTTTTGCCCATCTTATGACAGATAACCTGCGGCGATTTTGCCCTGCAAGATGTTCTCATTGCCTGAATTTCATAAGAGACCAAAGAATGGTTCATCAAACTGATCTTGTTATCATTGGCGTCTCTGTTGGTGTAGCCCTTGGAATTTTGATAGCTTCACTCATATTTTTTGGCATAAGGTGGTATAGAAAGCGTGCTCATCTTCGGCAATGTGCTAATGAGCGTAGTTTTACAACTCTTCCGATACAGGCAAATGGCTTAGGTACAAGCACTGACTATAGCGCATCTCTTTCAACTTCCGAAGCTATTCAGGGATCCGAGAACCTTCAAAAAAATTCTCCGCTCTCTTGGTGGAATCATCAAAACAAAGATCGATTTGTTTCTGCGCCAGGCATACTTAGATACTCTCACAAGTATGTTTAACCTTCTGCGCTATAGAAAAATTACATAATGCTGTTACACTTTATATTTCTCCATTTTGTGGGTACTAAAAAATATTCTATTAGGTTAATAGTAGAACCTATACCCAGACCCTGTGAGGTATTGAGTTGATATGCTATGATATATGGTGCATCTAATGTTTGTTATACTTTTCAGAGATATACAGAAAGCTACTCAAAATTTTACTACCCTTCTGGGACAAGGTTCTTTTGGTCCGGTGTATAAAGCAAAAATGGCTGCTGGAGAGGTAGTAGCTGTGAAGGTGCTTGCTTCCAATTCTAAGCAGGGAGAGAAAGAGTTCCAAACAGAGGTAAACGCTACATCAAGTAAATCCTGTGAGAAACCATCTTCCTTCATGCCCATAGAATTGATACAAAAATACTCACGTATGTTTTAGAATTCACAACCAAAAATGATTTCTTTGCTCTTATGGTCCAAAGAATACATAAAATGGAATGTAACATTTTCAACATTTTACTCAAAAGTTTGGAACGATAATAAAAAATACTGCAATTCTGGACATGAATGCAACAAGACAGTCCTCAGGAGTCCGGTTTCTGGTTTCCAAATTGACAATCTGACCAGTTATCACTGGTTAACTTATGATTGGCTGTCTCCATGTTTATATCCCACAAAACAGGTTGAGTTTCCATTAATTTATGTGGTCTTGCTGCAGGTATCTCTGCTAGGAAGACTGCATCATCGCAATCTAGTGAATCTACTAGGATATTGTGTAGATAAGGGGCAGCATATGTTAATCTACGAGTTCATGAGTAATGGCAGCTTATCAAATCTTCTGTACAGTAAGTTCCGAAGCTCCTGTTTTTATCCATATCAAAAATCAAAATTTCTCTTTGTTGTAGTAACTACATGCTAGGTGATATCTAATTCAAATGGAAGGTGGAAAAATTTACTCACTCTATGTTGCTTGGTAGTTCCAAATCGTTTATTTCACCTAGAGACATCTCTGTATCTTTTTTTTTTGTTTCACTGAGAACTTGACTAAAACTTCTTTTCGGAAGCCTTTTGGGTTGATTTAAGAATAATCTTCACGTAGGTGAAGAACAACAGGTCTTGAGCTGGGATGAAAGGCTACAAATTGCTCTGGATATTTCACATGGAATTGAGTACCTTCATGAAGGGGTAGGATATACATCTGTATCCTTGTTTTGTTAGTGAACAATTAGTTTTGTTCACCTCTCTCATATGAAGTTTATTTGAACAGGCAGTCCCACCAGTCATACATCGTGATTTAAAGTCTGCTAATATACTTTTAGACCAGTCAATGAGAGCTAAGGTAAGAAAATAATCGTATATGATGCATGCTAGGCAGCTGGCACATGCATGGTAGTTAATAGTGAATGTTATCATATTTATGTTTTCATTTCAATCTGTCCTCACCTTCTCCTGTGCATTAGGTTGCTGATTTTGGATTGTCTAAGGAAGAGGTTTTTGATGGCCGGAATTCTGGCCTGAAAGGTACTTATGGCTACATAGACCCAGTATACATATCTACAAACCAGTTCACAATGAAGAGCGACATCTACAGTTTTGGAATTATCATATTTGAGCTAATAACAGCCATCCACCCTCACCAAAACCTAATGGAATATATTAATCTTGTGAGTTTCATGCACTCTGCAACATAAACATATTGTTTACACATAATTCTGTCGCGAAGCTCTTTTAACTTTGTTCTCTTTTTCCTTTAAGGCTGCTATGGCCCCAGATGGTGTAGATGAAATACTTGATAAGCAACTAGTTGGAGAGTGCAAACTTGACGAAGTGAGGAGGCTAGCTAGAATCGGACACAAATGCTTAGAGCAATTACCAAGAAAGAGACCTTCCATAGGAGAAGTTTCGCAGGGTATATTGAAGATAAAACAGAGGCGTCTTGCCAAAGAAGATACCATGTCTTTCGCAGGCGAAGAGTTTTCGAGGGCTGTAAGCCGAATAGAGATTCAGCAGGTGGAGCTGAGTAGGATAGCTAGCATGAAAGATAGAGCGACTGAATGACCAATAAGAATTTGGTTTCCTTTTTGAGCATGCATATCTTCTTTTCAAGCTTGTCTAGGAAAATGTTGTTAATAACGTACAATATAAAATATACAGGCCTCTGAAAATGAGCAATTTCTGATTTTATGGTCAGTGGCGGAAGACATTCCTTAGGGGTGCTAAGCAGCTTATATTGGTTTTTTCTGGTTTCGAATTCGATCCTGGAGAGTTATTTGGGTGAACACAATGCTAGGCAAAATCAAGTTTTTAAATTTAAGCCCATCGTTCAATTTTTGTTAAAATATGCAAATTAACCATAATAACGGAGGAGAAAGCACTCAAGTCACCACCTAATAACAAGGGGTCAAAACATGCATTGCATCTTCAACCTCATAAGATAGTTTATACATACAAAACGCTGTTCCTTCTGCCATTTGGTATGGCAGATTTATTCTCTCACACACAGTCGACACAACGTGGAAGACAAAAAAGACTAAGGAATTGAAACATACGGTTCTCGCCTCCATTGGCCGACTCCCAAGGGTAAGACTCAGGATGCCAGCAGTCCCACAAACAAAAGGGGGAGGGAAGAAAAAAAAAAAAAAAAAAAAAAAAAAAAAAAAAAAAAAACAAAACACCCCGACCCGGGTGTCAAACCCTACAACAAGTACTCTAATAACACCACGTTATTTATCTAACAATATTCCCTCAAAACTGGCATGAAGTCCCCAACCTCTGTCTCTGCCTCTGACCCACATTCCCTGCATTGCGATTTGCAAAAGCAGGGCGCAACAATCTCTGGAAATTCTCAAGAAACCGCATCCATTCCTCTTCATTCATATCTGCCAACATCACGAAATTACTGCTCATAGGCCGCTGCTCATTCACACTCCTATTTCCTGAGGATGTGCCAGCCAAATAGCCGTTCTTCTGCATTGAGCCTAGGTGTCGCCAACTCTTCTCACCAACACTGATGTTTTTCAATGATGTTGACAGCTTTGAAACATTTGGAATCTGATCCTGCATTACACTAACACAGTCATCTGACCTTGGAGGTAACTCATTTCCCTCGTGCCCGTCCATGCCCTCCTCCACACCCTCCTCTAGTTTGGATAGTAAGTATCTTCCATTTCCACCTTTGGACCCAAAACGGAAAGTCCTTTCAGTTTTCATTTTCTCTTCTGTAGTTGGAGCCAAATCCAGCTCCTCCTCCCCACAGTCAAGCTCAAACTGAAACTCCTCCCTGCCTGCTTTTGGCTCAAAATAAGATATTTCCTCATCCAACAGTGTCTTTGCTTCAATGCATATTATCTCGAGTTCACTCGGCTCCTCCTCATGGCCCCGATATTCTCTACTCATCATCTCACCAATCTTAGAGAGACAGAGGCCAAAGGCTGCAGCTTCCTTGAGAAAAATCGTGCAAAGAACCAAGACTCGGAGGCATGCCTCTCGAATCATGGGCAGCTCCATTCTGAGCATATCAGAGTCCTTAAAAGGGTCAAGTTTATTTATATATGCAAGCTCATCATCTGAGAAAGGAATTGATGCCTGAGGCCAGTGTATCCACTCAAAGTATGGATCCTCTAAGCTTTCAGGTAGACAAAGGCCATGATCAATGGGTACAAGCTCTACCCGACCAAACCTCCCACCACCATCAAGCTTCCTAACCAGAAGGTTCCCTGCATGCCTGTCTGTGTTAAGAATCCGAATATCTAGAATCCCTATCCTATGCACAGCAGCAACAGGGAAGCTGGAAGTCCCATGATCACTGGCATCAAAATCATGAGGAATGAATTGCTGCAGTGATGCAATCTTACTTGCTTGCTTTCCGTTTCGATGCACATTACCTTTCACTCCATCATTCACATTAAAAACTGAATGTGTGATCTTCACAAGAGCAGTGTCAGGCACATTAGCAAAATTATTGTAATCAAGAAGGAAAGCTGCAACTTCTCTGAAACCTGTCTCCCCAACCCGTACTGAACGTTTGAGACCTGGTTGTCCAAGTGCTTTCCCAACAAAACCTTTTGGGTTGTTTGGAGCATAAGGTTCCTCATCCGTTGGTTTCACAATGGCAATATTTTCACCACTGCAATTTCTAAAGTAATATGCACCTCCAAGCCCACTGTGAACAGGAACCGGATCAATGCCATTTCTTATTGCCATCACAATATCCACAACTAATTGTTTTGTTCTGGCAAATTGATCCGAGTACCCCAGTACCTCAATTGGACCACTCTGATCCCTCTGCTGAAGATCCTTCCCAGTTGGTGAGAGACAGGGGGTAGACAAGCTTCTGTGCAAGAAGTTCCGGGTGAGAAGAAGCGGAGAATCATTTCGAACAATGCTGAGATCATTCTTCAACACCATGTCACCGCATACCAATGAACTCTCATCAGTTGGGACATTAAGTGCAAGCCGTAATTTCCTCTTCACTGTGTGGACATTGTCACCCCTATCTAGCTCTATGCCCAAAACAGAACCACTTTCAGTCTGCACAAACACACGTCTCTTGCCAGAATTTTTTCTTTCCAATGTCTTTTTCCCATGGTACTCACCATTAAGAGGTCCTTTGAAGGTTGCAACTGCCATCTGGTTATGTACAGGTTTACCCAATTCAGGAGACATGAAAGGAAGCAGAGAAGTGGCAAGTTCCAACGCCGGCAGCAGAGGCAGCGGCAGCAGAGAGCTTCTCTCTCACGCAGACGCCAAACTCAAATGCCGGCACTAATTGAAGGAAAATGTTTGTAATGTAAACAATCATAATCAAACTAGTGGAAGACAACTGATTTTCACACTGGAAAAGCTATATCGAAGAAGTCACCCACTTTGCCAATTTGCTACATTGCAGAGGCCACCTGATAATGACACTGGCTGGCTAGCTATTCCAGAATAACACATTCATTAGATAATCTTTTAAAGAATAGTGATTTACAAAGAAATAAAAGTATAAGATAAATCTTCTTTTTACATTTGTTTCTTCCAATCCCTAATACTTGAAGAGTTTGAAAGGAAACAAATAGACGTCCTTATCTGAAAACGATTCACTCATTTGGTGACCCGGTACATACATCCATATTTACAATCATGCATGCATACATACATCTACACAATCATGCATGGCATGCAGCACATACATATATATAATCATGCATGCAGTACATACATATACACAATCATGCATGCATGCATACATACATATATACAATCATGCATGCTTACATACATATATACAATCATGCATGCATACATACATATATACAATCATGCATGCATACATACACACACAGAGACAGGTATATATGCGTGAAAAAAAGGGAATCTTTTTCTCGGAAAATTCTTATGACAAAAAGCAGTCTGATCATCAACTTGAAGCCCAAATTACAACGCCAAGAATCAACTTTAAATTTCTTGTCCATTCAAATTTCCTACTCAAAGCTCTTCACTTTTTTTTTTTCTTCAAAATTTCTCCTCCGAATCAGTAATTTAAAAAGTGCTGGGAATTTTTTAACTTGTCTAATACATAAAACTTAACGAAAAAAGCACAAAACATAAATAAAAAAAACAATGCCGTAAGAATAATACAAATAATCAAAATTGATCCCAAACTCTACCGTAACAATTGGACACAAACCTGAGATTCAAATGGAATCGAAATCGAAGCTAATCGCGGTCTGACAATTGCAAAAACTCACTAAACAATAGTGTTTTCTAATGGAGAGCTCAGACAAAAACGAAAGAGTGAGACTCACCGGAGACCGCGATGCAGGGCAACCGGACGGCGGAGCTTACCGGAGATCCACCGCCGTTGAGACAAGACTGAATCGAAGACGGAGGGCGTGGATTGGATGAAAGAAATATCAACGGCCAGATTTGATTTGATCGGACCTCAAAAGCAATGCTGTTCAGAGTTCTTCTCTCTCCCGCTTTTGGAGTTTTTCGTCTCTAACTCCCATTCGCGAGAAGCGGAAGGGGGTTTAGCGAATAATTGAACTTTCTCTTTTTTAAATTCGAAATAAAGGAAGAAAATTACGGGCAGTAATAATATGTGCGCGTTATTTTGCCACGTGGGTGTGCGTCGTTCGTTCGACGGTAACGTGGCGGGTTTTCATCTGATTTGGGCTGTATGACGTTACTGGGCCCTGAGATGTCCAATGGCAGTGAAGGATGTGACTCCATGAGAGTTGGTCGTTGACACGTGGTGGTTTGTCTTGACGGTCGTGGTGGGAAAGAAAGATCTGGAACTTGAAATTTCCAAATCATTGTTGGGCCTCATTTACTCACTGGTCTTTTAGTCTTTAACCCCGCCGACGGCGGTCCATTAATGGATTGAACATTGGTCTAATTGTGGGGCTTAAAACCAGTCCATTTCCCAATTTTTGATATGTAAAAGTGTGTGTATGAAATGTGCGGTAAACTCAAACCTTTATTGTTACCACTGTATATGAGATTTTGTATTCGAATTTCCCTTCCCCAATATCACTTGTGTCCGAAAAAAGTTTACGTAATGACAGAAGTTAATGAATTACGAGTGATGGAGAGTTAATAATTATTTGTTGGTAATGTTATTATATTCCAATTTGTTGCGTTATATTGGAGTTAGAAAAACGGTGGAGGTGCGTCCACTCAATCTACACCAAAGTGGTAAAAAATGGGTTACCAACCTTTCCCCTCCGCGTTACCATTTTTCTTTTGTCCACAACCTTGTCCTAACACCTAACTCAAAAGAAGAAGCCAAAAAAAACCACAAAAAAAACTTTCCACCCTTGTTTTTGCCCTTGCATAACGAAAAGGTAGTCAAGCCTTGATGTGCTTTACAGCAACTGTCTTCTGATTAAGAGAAGGTCTTTACATACAGTCCAAGTCCCCATGGAGTAAATAATTGACCATAATAAAGTTAAAAGTGTGTGCATTGTCATTTAGAAGAAATAAACATATGACAAAAGGAAAAAAGGAAAAAAATATTATTGTGAAATTATGGGAAAAAGACAACATCATCACATCAGTCCCTTTTATTTGTTTATTTATGGTTTTCAATCCAATTTTTTTTCTTCCTTATTTTGTAATTGGCACCGTCTTCGTGTCTTTTAAATAAAGAAAGATAATTCGAATTTGAAATCTCTCCTAATACTGGAAATAGAAATACCAAAAGTACATTGATTGAAAAGAGTCAAATGCTGGTCAACAACAATAACTCATGCAAGCAATTTCTTCTTCCCATTCAACTTTCATTGATTCTTCTGCCCCAACCCAAAACAGTTCCTACTTTCTTTAAACACTCCTCATCACCCGAAAGTTTCTCTCTTTTATATTTGATCCCTCCTTTCAGATTCTCATCTCCCACAAAAAAAAACCCTTTGGTCTACTTAGAGAGAGTCACAGAAACACAACTATAGAAAGCCCCCAAAACCCAAACTCATCCAATCCAACCAGAGACATAAAGCCACAACCTTTACCTCACGTGACCAAACTCAAACTCCATCCCATTGCTTTCAATCATACAACTTTACCAATTCTTCAAAATATTAGCCAACGCTTAATCTACACCTCTGCCCAACAACCCTCAAATGTCCCATTTCATTGGGTCGTCTTAGCCACTCTCTGGAGTGGAGAGTGGGTTTTTCATGAGACAAAGATTTATGAAAAACATAAAAATACTTGAATGTAATAAAACAACATATCTCTGCTCCATTAATCTCCAACACTCAAATGTCGTGTGCATCTCACTCGCACGTGCCGCCCCTCCACCCACTCTCTCTCTCTCTCTCTCTCTCTCTCTCTCTCTCACTCACTGTGACTTCCCTTTCTACTAATCCCTGCAGTCCTCTCTCTGTTCATCCTTGCTTCTGCAATCTAGTAGGAGACAGATTCTTTTAGGTGGGTTTTAATGAAAGGAGAGGGAAAGATGGTGTTCAAGTCCAAAATGAAATGGGTTGGTCTGCTTGGTCTGGTTCTCTCAGCTATATCCCTCTTTGTTCACTTTTTGCTGGCTAGATTCACAGAAGGGGGTGTTTCAGAGTACCACTCCTCAATCACAATCTTCCCCAGGCGAACCATTGGTGAAAGCTTGAATTTTTCGAAGACTGTAATTGCACTATCCCAACTAAGATCTCATTTTTATTTTTTATTTTTATTTTTTACATTTGCTCTGTTTGCTCTGTCCTTAAGTGCTCTCTCTCTCTCTCTCTCTCTCTCATAGAGATTCATGTTTTTCTTAAATTTGATTCTCTTTGCCTATTGTCCTAAGTGTTATCTGTCTCTGGGTTTCAAGTACTCTGTTGGTTTCTGCTGGGCAAGACTTGTTCTTGCTCTAAAGAGTGGGAATCAGTGTTGTCCTGGTGAAATTGGTTTTGGGGACAATATTGCATTGGGATTTTGCTGGTTTTCTGAAACCCGCCATGATGTACATGAATTATTTTGTTGGTTTTCTGAAATAAGTTTAGTTTGAGTGTGAATTAGTGTGGATCCGTTTTTGTTCATTTATCTGTTATTATTTTCCAGTTAACATTGGAAGGTTTTGGATATTATCTGGACTGTTTAGTGTCACTATTGTCTGTTTGTTGTCTATGATGGCTACTTATCCCTCTACTTTCGGCTGCAGAGTCCAATGTATAGAAGGCTATGGGGACCGGTTAGACATCTGGAATCTTTGCATCCCAATGCAAATCCCAGAGGACACTATGCTGGTTAGGCCACTTTTCATCTTGCTAGTGATTTCTGTGTAGGTGTAGTGCTCTCTGGAGGCTTATGTTAGACAATTATTAGTTAAAGATTTCCTACGCAAAATTAATGCTTACCAAAAGGTTGATGATAACCCTTCTTTCTCTTTATTTATCTGTTTAAAATCTTACTTTAGGAGAGTGCTGTCTTCATTGTCGGACTGTAGGTTTAACACAACCAGTGGGGTCATCGATTTAATCTGACCAGTGAGCAGTGTTATAGTAGTAGTGTTTCCTACAAGTCCACAAGGAAATGTTTCATGTCTTAATTTTGGATATTGAAACCTTGAAATTTTGGGTTCAAACTGTTATTTATTACTGTATAATTACCATAGCTAAGTCTTGGGGTAGGGATTGAAGATACTTATAATTTTCTTACAGTTGATACCTGCAGAGTCAAAATTATGTATATCATCTATTTTTTGGTAGTATTAATTCCATAGATGCCTTCTAAAGTTAAATGTGTGTCACAGATCCTGGTTCAGATACCAGCGGGTTTATCTTTGTAAGGATACAAGGCGGGTTTCATGAGATCAGGAATTCGGTAAGGGTGTCATGCTTGAATAGCCTGTTCTCCATTATATTTAAATATCTTATAAGTTTACAACCACAGCATCTTATTGATTTTTCAGATATGTGATGTAGTTGTGGTTGCTCGGTTTCTTAATGCAACATTAGTCATTCCTGAGATACAATCAACCACAAGCAGCAAAGGCATCAGGTTTCTTTTCGGACAATCATTACAAGGCTTTGTTTGTTTATGACCTAAATTTGATGTATTGAGTACTTATTTCTTTGTTGATTTATTGTGTCTAATGTTTTCATGTAGCTCTCAGTTTAAGAGTTTTGCCTATCTCTACAATGAGGACCAATTCATGGTGGCTTTATCAAAAGATGTCAAAGTTGTGAAGACCCTTCCTAAAAATCTGAAAGGGCTGAGGAGAAAAAAGAACATTCCAGTGTTTAAAGTGCCTTACTCTGCATCACCGTATTACTATAAGCACCATGTTCTTCCAATTTTAAAGAAGCATTTAGTAGTTGAACTGGTTGTGTCTGATGGAGGATGCTTGCAGGTACCAATGTCTGTTCTCTCAATTGCATTGTACTCATAAATGGAGATTCCTGCACTTGAGTATAACTTGGTTTGATGATATAATTGTTACTAGCAATAATCTCCTTTTCATTTTGTGACGTTACTACTTTGTTTGGATTTAATGCAGGCTATCCTGCCACCTGATCTTGAAGAATATCAGAGGCTGAGATGTAGGGTTGCCTTTCATGCCCTTCGGTTCCGGCAGGAGGTCCAGGAACTTGCCACTGAAATTTTACACAGGTCAATTACCAGCCGTCATTTACTCCTCTCTTCACTCTTCACTCTGCACTCTCTATTTATACATATCTAATTTTTTTTTCTCATCTGGATGGCGTTTAACATATATTTACTATTGCTTTAGATTAAGGGCTCCTGGACAGCCATTTATAGCATTTGACCCTGGAATGACCAGGGAAGCTTTGGCATATCATGGTTGTGCTGAACTCTTCCAGGTAATTGCTTCAAAGCTGATTGCATGATGAACTATCTTTTTGGAATGCTTTCACAGCATTTGATTTGCATATGTTTGAAACTCTTCCCAAGGATGTGCACACTGAACTCATTCAGCACAAAAGACATTGGATGATAAAACGTGGAATTGTCAAGGGGAAGCTTTCGGTGAATTCTGCAGAACGACGCCTTAATGGTTCTTGCCCACTAATGCCAGAAGAGGTAAGATACAACATATGGCTACAATACAAAAATAATTTTCATAATCATAACGACCCCCTTAGTTCTTATAGATACTACCAAGTCTATTTAGCGTTAAATTCACCAGAGTAAAATGTTGTCCACATCCTTCGATAAGAATGACTTCTCATGGAGCCTTTTATTTATATTCCTTGGATTGATGCAGATTGGTATTGTTCTTCGTGCATATGGGTACTTGTGGGACACAATAATATATGTCTCTGGGGGAGAAATTTTTGGTGGCCAAAGGACATTGATCCCTCTTCGTGCAATGTTTGAAAATGTTGTTGATAGGACTTCCCTCAGCATGCCTTGGGAGCTCAGTAGGATTTATGGTCGTGAGGCTAACCTTGTTGATCGCAATCCTGGGAGTCCACCTGTGATTGAGGAAGAAATGAAGATTGAGGCATGGAAAACTGCAGGGCCACGTCCTCGCCCGCTTCCACCACCTCCAGCTAGGCCAAAATCCTATAACATTGAAGGTTGGTGGGGTTGGGTAGCTGAGAGTGATAACGAGCCTGATAGTACAGTTATGGAATTGAGGACCAATGCCCATAAACTACTGTGGGAAGCAATTGATTATGTGATATGCGTTGAAGCTGATGTATTCATCCCTGGATTCGATCTTGATGGTAAGGGGCATCCAAATTTTGCAAGCTTAGTCATGGGACACCGACTCTATCAGTCAGCTGCATCAAAGACGTACAGGCCAGACAGGTATGTTGCGTTATCTGGACATGTGTGTGCACACGATTAATAAGTCGAAGGTCTTTTAGTGTTTGGTGCTTTTCTTTGACATAAACTATGGAAAGTAAATTTTTTCTTGAATCAGGATTACGATGTAGGATTTGTTGATTTGAAGCATTTGAGCTGTTAGTTTATTCACAGTCAAGGTGTTCTGATCCATTGCTTTTAGTTTCTTGGTTCTTTTTCTTTCAAAGTTTGATGTGTTTATGGACACAGATATGGCAAGTGGCTAGTAATCTCAATGCTATCCTATCTGTGTCTCTTTTTTTTTTTTTTTTTTTGACAAGTCTTGTTTGTAGCCTGTTATTTTCTTGGTTTTTTTTGTCATTCTTGATAGCATGGAAATAGGGATTAAATGAAGTTGTGATCATGAACTGCTAGGTCTAAAATTACTGTGTGTATACTTGAAAATTATGAGAAATTGTTATGTTCATTTGCTTTCTTGTAGATTTTGGTAGACTATGTTTTCTATAAAATTATTTCTTGTGCTTTTGTGAACACAGAAAAAAAGTCACCAAGCTTTTAGAAGAAATTCGTGACCACCTTTACCATGCAAACCATACTTGGCTGATGTCAGTGCGCAAGAATTTGAGGAAGAGATTAGTTGATGGAGTAATAGAAGCTTCCGCAAGATCAAAACCACTGTCTTTTATCTCTCATCCTGTCCCAGAATGCTCTTGCTTGAGGCATGATCCTGCGGGAAAATCAATTAATGCTACAACATCAGATCATACTTCAACTTCTACTAGTCATTCTCAAGTTCTTGCTGCTCTTGGAGTTGTGCACTATTGCCCTGCTTGGATGGAGAATGATTTGATACTGCAGTCAAAAGACAAGGAAAATGAAGAAACTCTAGATGAAGACGACTCCACGTCATCAGGATTGTTTTTCCGGAAAAATAATGGATATCATGAAGGTGGTAATGGAGACTTAAGCAACAAAGAAGAGACTCAGTTGGAGGATCAAGAAGAGCTTGAGGGTGGAGAAAGGTAGTGAGGCTGATTAACGACATGGTCATCCTACACGGCAGTTCTGTACATAAAAGATATCTTCACTCGTATGATCCAAGCAAATTTGGAATCATCTTCAGCTCCAATTTCATAAGGGAAATGCCAGTTTCCTAACTGTGGTTCAAGAACACAAGACACCGGACTGATTTGGCTCTCATTGAAGCATTTACTCATTTTTGTTGGGTTGTTTAAGCCCTTTTTACAATTATATAGGTCATTATTTAACCCCACAACCAATTTTGATGTAAACTCGTACGTTCTCCATGAAATTGTAGCCTTAGCTTAACCTCTCTAATTTTGTAGGGAGTTTTGTTTGTTAGACATGTTGATTGAATTAAATTCTTTGCAGTGATCCTCGTCAGAAATTATGCCACCATTTGGTTGTTGTACTCATTCAAACATGAATCCACCATTCTGTGTGGGCGCCTTGTAAACATAGATAATTGGAGTTTGAAGTTCATGTTGATTAATCTTTTTGGCCCCTCAGGTGTCTCGCAGAAGAATATGAAAGAAGACTTTGCAATGTAGTAAAAATACACAAATTCCATATCCTTTGATTTTCAACAAGCCCATCACATAAGCAGAAACTGACTAAAAACCTCTTTTTCAGTGAAACTCCCTCGTATTCTTCAAGATGCATGTTTATATACAACACTTATCATTTGAGAAACTGCTGCCCAATGTGACTATCCTTGACTAAAGTAACATGATGACCATCCTTGACAAAATCAGGTGCTCATATTGTCTTTTGTCTATGTTTAGAAGCCTTTTGAAGCTCTAATGGCAAATCAAACAAATTGTACATCCATCATAATGTAGAAACTGGAAAGAACATATACATACTCGCATTTAACAAACTGTAGAAAATATAAACTCAAAATTCTACTTCAAACTCGTGGAAGGAATTTCGTCCATATTATCCAATGCAGAAAACATCTCATTCATGAGAAACTAAAACATAGAGCAAAGGGTATTGGGTACTTCACATTTGTTATGTGCAAACACTCCAAGACCTTGTCAATAATATAATGACATGTGAAAAAGTTATTCTACATTTCGTTGCATTATTGACCGGAGATAGCAAAAATTGTTATCCTCGTTGCGTGAGAGTTTCTCTCTCTCTCTAAGGGAGGGTCCCACTCCTCCATGCGACAACAAGATAGATGTGGACTGATCATGTTGTAGGGTAGGGTCCATCAGGAATCATGGGATGCATCTCTAAGCCCAAGCCCACGTGGTCACAAGAAGAACAAATTAGCCCAAATTAGGCCCTGGTGGCTGGCGGGTCACATTAGTTCCAGTGGTGGCCACTACCAGAATGAATAAATCAGTTAATTAAGGTTTAATGGTGGAATTAATTAATATTAAAAATAATTAAATATTTGTTAAGGTCTTTGGTTTTTAAGTTACTCGTTTAAAGAATAGAAACAGTGCCACCTAGGGCTCCAATTCCATGGTTGTCTTTACTGTAACAACTGTCTGTACAAAATCCAAAATCCAAAACTCCACCAACAAGACCACACCTTTTTAACTATTTCCAGACCCGTCGGACCCAATTCGGGCACTCCCCTTCGACCAGGACCTCCCGCATTCCACTACCGCCACCACTCACACTCGCCGCACTCTCTTACAAACTCCTCCTAAGTACTCTCTCTCTCTCTGTCTGTATCGTCATATTGGCTTCATTTTATTTATTTATTTAGGGATAAATTTATTATATTTGTGGCAGTTACAGTATATATCGGAGATGGCGAAAGCTTCCAAGGGCCACCACGATGAATTTGAAGACGATGATGAAGAGTCTCATGGAGGTATCTCTCTCTCTCTCTCTCTCTCTCTCTCTCTCTCTCTCTCTCTCCATGTGAGCTAGTTGTGGCTGCCTTGAGAAATGGTTTTTTTTGTTGTTGTTGTTGTTGTTAAGGAATGAAGCTAATAATGAATTGATAGGGAATTTGGCAGTGAAGGTAGAAGGGCAAGGCAGGGAAAAGAACCGGTCCAAGCATTCCGAGACTGAGCAGCGTAGGAGGAGCAAGATTAATGAGAGGCAAGCTCAAAGCCTAAGCCTTTTTTTTTCCTCTTTGCATTAAATCACTCCTTCAAATTTTCTTTTGCAATTCTGCTTTGTACATGTTTCCAGAGCTCGAAAATTATAGTTAGAATAAGTAGAGGGAAATTGGTTTTGCGTTGGATATGTTATAGTTGCAGTAAAAGGTCTCTGTGTTTTCATTTTCTTTTTTCCTTTCATTTTTCAAACAAAATGGGGCCTTACCAATTTCCACAATGTACCTACAGGAAAAGTTGGCATTATATTTTCGTAGATGTCGTACTTCAGTTGTGTGTTTTGTTGAATTTTGTATTAGGAAGAGAAAAAGAAGAGAGTTCAGGGTGGTAAAGGAGGACTTCTAAGCTGTAGAAAATTCTCTTACAAGAATTAAAAACTTTAAAAGTTCAAAAATTTACAAAATATTTGACCTTGTGGATACACAATTTCAAGCCTATTTGGCTATCCAAAATTGAATTTGTCTATTACTCATGCAAGTTAGCAAATTTGAGCATCGAATGTTTATTTATTTATATTTAATGAAAGCATTATGTGTTGACCTTTTATTGTAGTCTTTGATCCTTCCTCCCCAACCCCCCCTCTCTTCTTTTTTGGTATTAAGTTAAATTGTTGGCGATATGAAGATTTTATCTTTCTATTACTGTTGTAACTTTGTTTGCTGCTCTTTTATGCTATGCGGGTCTTTCTTTTTAATAGCATGGGCATAAACTCTTCACTCACCTGGGCAATACATATTTCTGAGGCAGATTTCAGATGTTGAGAGATCTCATACCCAAAAATGATCAGAAAAGGGATAAGGCCTCATTCTTGTTGGAGGTACGCATTCCATTTGTGCTCTGCTTATATGTTGATAATACTTTACCCTCATTGTCATATTATTTTGATAGAACATGCTCCGTATCATATTCAAATATATTGTGTCTATATGCAGGTTATAGAGTATATACAATTTTTACAGGAGAAGGTAAATTTGTATGAGGGATACCAAGGATGGAGTCCAGAGCCCACAAAATTGATGCCATGGGTAAAACTCTAATGCTTGATATCTGTGTCTGTGTGCGAGAGTGTTGGCTTGGTTAGATATGCATGTGTTATGGTCTTGGAGTCATTATCCTTTATCACTTTTGTATGGCATTGTCAATTTCAATAGGTGTTACTTTGACACTTGAAAAAAGTATAAGTGCTGGGCATGAATATGTGCATTTTGAATATCTGTATGTGTTAGAGGTACTTCTTATTGGCATGCACTAAGAGGCATGTCCAACTAGAGACAGAAGAACCTTGCCTTTATACCAAGAAAGTTAGTGTCAGACTTTATCTTTTGCTATATGTTTTTTTGTGTGTGTATTTTTCAAATTAATAGCTGGAAGGTGCAATTTATGCCCTTTATTTCACCTTATGGGTGGAAAAAGAAAATTGGAAACTATGAAATTCTGTTGTTCCCTTAAATCATAGCATGTATATGGTACATGAAACCAACACCAAATAGACACCTGCACACAACAGTTGCAACTTGCACCAAAATCCAGGTAGAGAGGATTTTTACTGTTACTGAAGAACAAGATCATACCTGAGACAACTGCAACCCTATATATTTGTATGTGGGCGTATTTAGGATTTTCGGAGGTTACTTCTGATATTAAGAATTAGTATGACTCGTAACTGCCCGCCCAGTGGAAACTTACCAACCTACCATTTATTTGTTTGCCACAGAAAAATCATAATAGGCCTGGAGAAAATTTTGTAGATCAGTCTCAAGTTATGAACAATGGTTCTGGTCATGAGAATAATGCAGTTGTCTCTCCAGCAATGCTCCCCAACACCCATAACTCAGTGGAATCTGACTTGGGCTCTGGCGTTGTTTACAAAGCATTGGATCACATACCTGGGTTAGCTACTCGATCAGTTCCTAATGTGCAACAACAAAACATCTTTGACCCAATTGGGAGTGTTGGACTACCCACACAACCTCTGCAGGAATCTATTTCTGATGCTGAGAACATGACTTCCAATCCTCCATACCAATTGTGGCAGGGTATAACATCTACAACTGCTTCAGACGATAAACTGAAGAAACAGGATGAAAATAATGGATCAGGTAGCATCTCAAGTGCCTACTCTCAAGGGTGAGCTTCCACAAAGATCTCTTGATAACTTTATTGTACCAGATGCCAAGCTATTGTTCAACATGTTTATTGTGGTGGAGTAAATTTCCCTGGTTGTATTCTATGGCAATCATGCTTATCCTAGGTTGAGATTTTGAGTTCAAATTTTGAAAGCGTTACCAGTGGAGACTAGGAATAGGAATTTCATAATTGCCTGAAAATATTGTCAAAATGTTCAAATAAGTTTCCAGGAGAAGCCATAGATCATTTCATTCTTCAAAATTGGCTTTAAGATGGGTTAGCTTTTAACATTTAACCCATGATGGCTGTTTCTTTTATTTATGTTGTTGTAGGATATGTTGGATCGTGAAATCTGTAATGGTATCACAAACTATTGTTTTCAATGCTTACATATTCTATCAATTTTGTATTTTGAAGTACTCGATTCGCATAATATAACAGGACTCTTATAATCTACTTCGTTATAGAAAGATATCATTTTGCTGTTACTGAGTTAGCTTTTGTGCTGAGCAGGGTATTGAACAGTCTGACACAGGCACTGCAATCTTCTGGTGTGGATTTGTCCCAGGCCAGCATCTCGGTTCAAATTAATGTTGGGAGTCGAGTAGACAGTGGACTGACATCCATGGCATCTAGTTCAAAGGTTGGTTTAGAATCTTCAACCGTTGCGTTAAACCCCATCCTAAATGTGACTGCTGCATCTGCTACTGATGTGTTTGTTTACTATTAAATGTGAAATCCCGTAGGCATTTTAGCAAATTGGCGCACAGCATGTCTCCTATTTTAGTCTTGCCATATGGTCTAGTGTCCTGGCCTTTGAATTTTTTTCCCCTTATTTTTTTATATTTGTTCAGGCACAATTGAACCAATCCTTGAACAATCAAATGACACAGACCCAAGTAAGCAGTTGTGATGAGGACTTTGAACCGGCTCATAAGCGGTTCAGAACAGGAGAAAGCTAGAGTATCTGGGTTCCAGTTTTTCTTAATTTCCTTGTTTTATTGAGGGTGAAAAGGGGGCGCTCTTGGGCAGGTCACTTTTTGTTACAAAATTTCATGGTCCACAGACAACTAGGTCGAAGTTCAAATTGTATATGGTTTGTGCTCCTTGTGCATGAATTTTCCTAGATAGACGTGTTAGATATTCTTTTGTTTGTAGTTTGAAGTTTCAGATGAATGATTCCATGCATGTAACAAGAAGCGGCTCTTGTGTTCTTTGCTGCCTTTTAATGAATTTTTTTACATATTAATTTCATCGCCATGTTCTCTTCTCTTGCCTCCTTGAATTAAACCTTAATTGCTTATTAAATGGATAATGGAGTTTTGGAATTAGCAGCAGCTAATTGTGATTTAGAATTTGAGTAATGTGGCAGGGTAAAATTGAGATATTGTCTTGTGATCTGAGATTAAAATTTGGTGAAATTTTCAGCGGCTCTAGCATTTACTTGTTGAAATTCTATATGCTTGGGGAATCTATTTCCAATCCTGATACTCATAATTAAAGCTGCAACGTTATCAACATGTGAATTAATCGAAGAATGAAATAACATTAAATGGACATTCATGAGGTTAGAGGACTTTGAGCTTTCTGTCTTTCACCTTTTTGGAAATGGTTGTGTGCTGCGAAAGCTAAGTTTAAAGTGCATGAATGGCCACACCCATATTCATTGAGTGGAAGTAGGAACAGCACCATAAGTGCGTGTCCATGTATTGACTAGAGACTCTAGTTTCTCAGTGGACGGTAGCTTCTTGGATCACACACCAAGTTTTCTTGGATCACTCATTAGTATTATTGCTACGCTGCTATCACCTCTTTCAACTAAGATACTTCTTTCATTTTTCGCTTTTTCCCTATAATCTTAAGGATTAGGATCTAGCATAATGAAAAAGTGTCTCGATTTGCAGATAACCCTCATAATACATATGATATCTTAGTAGTGTGTGTGGGAAATCCCCTCTTTTTTATAGTTTAGACTATCGCTTGTATTTTTTAATAAAAAAATACTAAAGGATTTTGCCAAGGACAATAGTCTGGTGACTTTCAACCGTTGATACAATGAGACCCACATTTACATCAATGGCCATGGACGAGTGTCCCAAACACTGCTATGGACTAAAACCACATGCTAAAAGAACCTTGGGATGATGAATAAGTTAATACTATTGTTATTCTTCTTGAGTACTAAGTGGGCAATAATTTTGGGATCGTATCATTAAGTATGATGTATTCTTTATTCAACTTTTTGGAAGCATGGAGCTGGTGGACTATAAGTTTTATAATACGTATTTTATTTAATGGCAAACTAAACAATGAAGGAGATACAAGGTTTGGTGCAGAGTCCTAGCTAATTGAGGACATGAAATGATGGGGATTATTTGCCAAACCCCACCATTTTATATGTAGGCTGGAACATCAGCTTTCCAGGTGCAAAGTTGCTGTCAGTTTAAGAGGTCTGGGTTCTGTTTTTATAAGCATTTGCGTCATGAGGCTTGACCTCCACTACTCCAATAGGGAGTTTATTAGTTTAGGCATGCCTAATTCATGTGGTGAAATCTGATTAAGTACCAAAAAGTAATTTAATATTATCTTATGTTAGTATCAGCAGCATCATCCAGATGATATGACCACAATTAGTTTATCAACACTAGATTCATTTACAGAGAGAGAAGCAAGGTGAATATCTTGTTGCAATTACAGAAGTACATGAGAGATTTTGAGGTAAACATCCTAAAAACTCCCGTCAGGAGAATGCAAAATATTCCCTAATTACAATGAGCTTATTTGGTATTTCACCTCATAAAATCTGATTTATTAATGAAAATTCTATAAACTCCCAAATGCTTTCTGAAGAGCATCCAAGCAGAGGCTCCAAGATCAACCCCAACCCAATTCTCTGTACATGACACTATCCTTTGCTGTATTAACTTAAGACCACAGCATAAAGTAGCCCCTAATTACTGCTTGTATAAATTCTCAATGGCGCATTGCATAAGTTAAAAAAGAAAAAAACCATGTATTTGGCATGACAAGATCATCTGCTTCTCAGTGGCTCATCTAACAGTTGTAAACATTCATGCGGATTTGAGTAGAAATAATCTTCTTCCTTTGGTTTATCTGCAATAGAAACTCGTTTCTTCGGGCTCCCCATCCGATCAGCATGAGCTTCCTTCACAATAGAAGAGAACTCATCCCAGCTCAATGATCCACTACTGAATTGTTCTATTGAACCAATCAGAAGTTTTCTGTCCAATAAAACAGTCTTTTTGAAACCTAAGAATCTGAAATATGAAGAAGCCAAGGAGAAACATTATCTCAGATCAAAATAATTCTACGACCAAGCAAGGGGCAATTAACAACAAACATCTTATCTGGCTAGAACACTAAAATACCAAAAGAATATTACCTCCGATGGCCTTCAACAACTTTAGCCATATTTCCATCGTATGTAGGAATAAATATATCACTCTCTAGGGAGACAAGATAGTCCAATGCTGCCCTCTGAGAAGAGTGGTTTGGGAAAAGCCTCAAGTCCGAAGGCTCCAGCAGAGTCTCTTTTCTGACCTGTTCCATAAAGTTAAAGCAAATTGTAATGGAAAAGCCCTATGATGTATAATTGTTGGAAAAGTTGCTTCTTAGTCGTTCTACTTACCAAGTTAGGAAAAGCAGATTTCAAACTTTCCATCCTTCTGTTTCCACCATATATTTCTCCAGCAGCAATATAAATTTGGACATTGTGATCAATACCAAGTGCAACCAAAACTAGAGCAGTTTCCTCTGGTGTTAGCGGGCACAAACCTTCTAGCCTTTTCATTTCAGAATTTATGTCTTTTATCTTCCACAAGGGGTTAGCATATCTAACAATGTGTAAGATCCCATAATTAAAAGAGGTTGATAAGCAAAACAACTAAAGATGCACAGAAGAACAAAACTAAAAGAGGACCTACCTCATTCTTGTGAGTTCTTCTTCCTCATCATTGTTGCAACCATGACTACAGCCAGAGAATGCCAACATATCCATTTCATATCTGAGATGAAGGGCCAGAAAAGGGCCTTTTTCTCTCAAAATTCTGACAAGCTTTCTGCCAATTTCCTCTATCTGGGAAGTGAATCTCAGAGCATGGAAATTAACTCGGCAGCGCAACTTCTGAACCTCAAGAGGGAGCCCATTATTAGCCAACCGAGCATCGGTTTTATTCAAATGTACTACTTTATACTTCTGCACCAGAGGTAGGATCTGTTGGCAAACACCTCTAGAATTAGCGAGAATGGTCATTAACCGAAAAAGAAAAAAGATGATGCTCAAATACTTGTCTTTTGAACCAACCTGATGAAAGTAGTAGGAAATGTTGGACCAACTAATAGGTGGCAACGAGTATACAGCTCTTTTCCTGACCCGTGGCGGCAGTTCCTTTAATATCCGAACTTCATCTCTCAAGGATGCAATGAAATGATCAACATCAAAGATGTCTTGAAACTCACTGCCACAATAAGGGGAAAGCTTAGAACCTAGATGTTCCTTATTCTCTCATTAGGGGCCTTTACAATGAGAACATCCTTTCCTTATAATTCTAAGGGAAAACTAATTAAACTACCTTGCCGCCCAAAAAGAGTTTTTATCCAGCTCTGGAACAATAAGAGTCACATTTAAGTATCTGGCAATAGCAACCATATCACAGATCTGCAGCAAAGTGAGAAGTGAGAAAAATAACATGGTGGTGAAAACAGAATAGCAATAAAACATCCATCTAAGATAAGAATGTTCATAATTGTGATGAAGGAGCTAGCAACTCACGGCGGCTCGCATTTGATTCAATCCTCCATTGCAAGAAACCATGAGATAACCATTATTCTTGTAAACCCCTGAAATAAATAAAACTAGTTCAGAACTAACAAACAACATTCCAATTCCGAACTTTTCATTGAAAGAGAGTATCTATAATGGAATAAACCAATTACCAATGAGCCAAACAAATTAAAATCCACATGAACAATGGAAATACATAAAAGAGGTCAGCATCTTCAAGAAGATTATCATTCTACATCAACTGTTTGGAATGATATTAAAGTATGATCATTACTTCGGTTGCCTGAAACATGAGTTCTCTAAGTAGTAAATTACACACAAAAGCGATCAAGGTTTTTATTAACAAGCTCAAAACTTACTCTTTGATGGGAGAGCAATTGGGATTGGAAGCTTAGCCAATTCAGCATGCGCAGGCAACTCTAATTGAGGGCAGGGAGGGCAAACCTTGAACAAACTTGGCCCCCTTATCAACCATATTCCAACCAGCTGAACTGCAGAAGCCCACACCAAAGCTGTAACAATCGCCCGAATGATAAACAACCATGCGTTCGTCTTCAATATCGAAGTCTTCAATTTTTTAACTCTACCCAAGAACTTAAATCCCATCTTCCCCTCTGATCTATAATCACACCTCTCAAAGTCCTCTGCTTTGCACATTGTAATTTGTAACAGATCAAAACACCTTCATCAACTACTGACCATCAGAAAACTGAACTCTTCAAACACCAGACTTATTGCAATTCAACACAATCTTTGATAGATAAAAAGTGATGGTGACGCTCCAATGCTATCTATGCACAAGACAAGGTGGTCCTCCAAGAGTTAATAACATAGTCGAAACGCCTCGAAATAACTAAAAGATTTAAATTTTCTTTGATCCTGACAAAGTTGGCACTAAAATAATCAATAGACCAACTCTCAGATATTTACTTCGAACCACCCAAAACTTGTCACCTATGACCCTCCACCAATACTCATCAAAACCCAGAAAGCAAAAATAGAAAATTTCCAACTAAAGCTTTCCAAAGATTTCGAAGAATGCAACTTTACGCTTAATCTTTCCAAACCCAATAATCACTTTGAGTTGCTCTTAATTTGCCGGTAAGATTCCGGCCAATAATCCGGCGAGAGTCACCGGAAAACTTGTAGAATGTGGTTGGAGAAAGCAGAGAAGCACAGAGCGGATGAGGAAAATAGCGTATAGTTTCAATGAGAAACAGAAACACAAAAAAGTCTGCAATCAAGGGTCAAGTCAAGTGACCGCATTTATAGCAAGCCTGGCCAAACTAGGATTTCACACCCTATAGAATTAGAACTCTGTTCACCGTCTCCCATTATATTTTGTTTTTATTTACATAATTAAACTTTTATAAACACTGATAGCACTACCGTTTCTGCTTTAAACACCAGAATACATACATACATGGTAGTAATGGATATAGATGAACACAAATACAACTCACCCAAGTTTTTTATATTAGTTTTTTTCTCTTTGATATTAGATTATTGTTGTTGGGAGGAAGTGGATTTGCAACCAAAATCTAATTACAAATTTACAAGTCAGCAGTCATGAGAGATGATAAATTGTAGTGGTATAGATAGACCACCGTACTTTATTTAGTAATTATTTTCGCACCAAAGTTGACACTGCAGTTGTTTTTGCCGTATAACTAAAGTAATTGTTTTGTTTTGTTTTTGTCAAATATGTTTTGACTCATATAAAAATAATAATATAAAAGAAAGAAAAAACTGTCATTCTAGATAATCTTCCCTTGTGGTAAAATGGAGGTATTGAAGTTATACTTGAAAGATTGATTATTTTACCTAACTACTTTCAACTTTTTCATTCACATTGGTCATTCAGATGTGTATAATGTGTTGAATAAGAAAACTGAAATGTATACCATATGAGATCATGGAAGCTTATTCAATATACAATCATTGTGAGCAAGAGCACACATTTTTAACCATCCGAATACTACAAGCTATGAGGTTGCCATTTCTTATAAAATTTGTGCCAAAAAGAGTCATGCTAGGTTACCATTTGGATAAAAGGTACATCAAATCTTGATTTGGGGCCTTTTTGTTTGCTCATGTCGTTGTGGTAATGTTATAGGTAGATAGAATCTAACAATTCTTTACAGCTGACACTGGTGTGAGATTAAAAAGAAAAAAACAGAGTTTGCATTGCTATTTTATTGTTCAGCATTCCATCAGTGATGAGCAACTTGCAACTTTCTTTTAGTGATTGGCGCGGGCAGAGTCCTACTGGTGTCCTCTCACCACATTTGGACATTATACCAGTAGAGCAATTTTCTCTTTTATATGAGATGGAGAGACCAATTATTCTAAAATGAATAAAAATACCAACAAATAAATTAAAGAAAAGAGAGCATCTGACACTTTTGGCCGTGTCAAAGCAAAGTCATGGTCTGTTTTTTGTTTTTGTTTTGGAGAAAGATATGTAGTTTTGGAGTTAGCAATTGTGACAAATCCCCCGTGATTGATTGTATCTGTCATTTGACAGAGCAATTTGCGTCCTGCATGAATATCACTTGGTTTTGGTCTCTCATATAAGAAAATGCAATAAATAACATGGTGTTCATCAGAAGCAGCAGCATCTTTTGGCCAAAAGTGAAATAATCCTACAACTGTTTTCTTCATATTTGCTGTGCTTCAACAAACAAATGAGCGGTGCCCTCATCTGAGTCTTGGGCAAACAATAAACTTCACCACAAAATCAAGCATATAATTTTTATTTATTTTTATTTATTTTATTTTTGGGTGTGTGTGTGTCCACATGATGTATTAATAGTCACGGAGTGAAAGCTATAATATTATAATTGCTCATCATCACAATGATTGGGTGAATAATCAGTAGAGCAATGATTATAATATGAGGGTAGTGGTGGTCTTTTTAGTTCTATACTTCCATGATTCTATCTTCATCAAAGACATGGATAAGTAAAAGGGGCTGATTTTTCCGCTCTTATTTTCTTCACTTACACTCCCTTTTGCTTTTTAATACTTCTAAATTAATTTGTTCTTTTTAGATCTTTCTCTTTCATATTGTACTCTTATCCTACATTAATTTCTTTTCATTTCACTTTTATATTATTTCTTTTTCTTTTTACTTAATTTTCCAACTTGCATTCTATTTTCTTTTTCTTTATACTTTTATGTTATTTATTTTTCTTTATGCCGTTGAATGAACATGATAATATATATTTTTATTTTTTAGAAAACCCATAATGCGTAATGAAGTTAATAAAAAGTTGAATTAAACATTAGAAAAAAGAAAAGAAGGGCGTAGTCAGGGAGGGGACGAGCTGCACAGCGATTGTAGAAGTGGGAACAATCCAACAACCCTGTCAATCTATATCCCTAGCCATTTTCCCCAATGACACCCAAAGGCCCCCAACTCTCCAAGCCACACTTACCTCCCCAACTCCAATCCACCCACTTCTAATATATATATATAATAAAAGCCCCTGTAGCCTTACCTTTACGCAATGGTCCTTTCCCCTTCTCCACTCGCTGAATAGCTCCTTCCCTTCCCGACTAGACTATGCCCTTCTTTCCGTTTTCTTTTGAAGTTTTATGTAAATTATTTTTTCTAATGATATATTTTAGTTTAATTGAACTTTTAATGTATTTTAAAATTAATTCAACTTTTTATTAACTTCAAAAGCTATATAGGTTTTCAAAATGAAATGAAAAAAGATTATCATGTTTATTTAGTGGCAACTTTAACGGAACAAACCAAATTGATTAATAGTCTTAAACACAGTGATTAAATTGGTCAAATTGAAAACATATGGACTAAATTAACCAACATGATAAAACACATGGACTATTTTAACATTAAAACCAAAAAAATAATATAAAAGTGAAGTAAAAAAGAAATTAATGTATGACAATGGTAGAATAGGAAAGAGAAATAACAAAAAAGAAAATACAAATTTATAAATAAACTCAATCCTAGACATGTATTTATAAAAAAAACCCAAGCACTATTTAAACATAGAAACACACCCAAAATCAACTCTAAAGTTAACTTTTTGGGTGTGTTTATAAATGGGTTTTGAGTGTGTGTAATGATGGGTTTTGGGTGTGTTTATATGTTTAAATAGTACTTGGGTTTTTTTATAATTTCAACTCCCATTTTGGGTGTTTTAGTGAAACTCCCAAAAGAAAAAGAGTAATCAACAAATATTAAAAAGCAAAAAAATAGTGTAAATTGAGAAAAGAGAAATGAAAAAATCAGCTCCCAAATAAAACTGTAAAAGGGCAGCTCAGTACATTAATTACCACAATGTTTATGTCATTCATGGAGAATTTAGCATATGCCCAAAATCCACTGATGCCAAGTACGAAGATGGCCTTCATTATTTTGGTGCATTATTTGTGCACTGAGAGAGTGGAATTACTCTCTGTGTTTTATGGACACGAGTTTCTACTCTCCAATGATAAGTGATAGTCAGATGGTCCAGGCAAATTGACTTAGCATCTGGTTGTTGATCAGTAAATGATCTTTGCGGGGCCTCTCAGCTGTCAAAGAAAATGGGCCTCATAGTTTCTTTTGCATTAATTCTTACACCTATCATCTTCACTATAATAAATGTTTCTTTGGGCGAATGGAGGTTAGATCAGTTGGTGAAACAAAAGGTTAAGTTAGTGTGCCTGTCCCGTCGCATTTGAATTCGAACAATCTTTTTTCGCACATTAGAATAGTTTAGAATATCGCTCTTGTCAAAAGATAAATATTTATTTAGAGTAATTATAATTTATAACAAGTGAGGGGACTAGACCAATTTGGTAGCAAATATTGAAGTGCACAACATTAAATTGGATTAGGCTGTATTGTATGTGTGGAATTTTTATGAGTCTTTAGCGAAAATAGCATTTTGGAGTATTTGGAACTTTGGCATTTTGGGGTTCTATGGTATGGGCTTTGATTTTTTGGGCTTACTCATGTTAGGTCAGAAACATAAAGCCCAAATTTTAAAAGGCCAAGTCCAATTTTAAATCTGAGTTTTGGGCCCAATTTCTTTCTTCCCAAATTAGGGTTTAGCAGTTACTTTTTTCCTCATCCTAGGGTTTTAGCACCTCTCTCTCTCTCTCTCTCTCTCTCTCTCTCTGCGGAAAAACAACCATGAGGAAGCTGAAGTTTCACGAGAAGAAGCTGTTGAAGAAAGTGAACTTCTTGGATTGGAAGAGAGAAGGAGGTCACAGAGAAGCCCAGGTTCTGCAACGTTACCATGTCACCGGTCGCGACGATTATAAAAAGTATATAATATTTGTATTTTTTTAATTTAATGTCATTTTTATGGTGTTATTGGTCGCTCAATCTTAGGTTTTTTTTTCCCGATTGAAAATTGGAAAATAGATATTCGGGTTTATGCCGAATGGTGCAGAAGCTGGTGAACATATTGAAGCAGATGAACCCAAACGACCCTTTTCGGATTGAAATGACCGATATGTTATTGGAAAAGCTGTGAGTTATTTATTTATTTACGTGCTACAGAAATTGATCTGTTAGGGAGTATACTGCAAATTTTGTTTTTGCTTTTTGATGCTGAATAAACTTGAATTGGTATGTTCACTTAGAAGTATTAATCTTTCAAAGCTGCGTAGTGAAAACCCATAACAAGTTATCAGCTTTTTGTTAATTAGCTCTTAAAGTGTTTTCTGCTGGACATTATGTGTTATGTGTAGGTGATAGTAGTGTTGAAATGAGAAATTTGAAGCAGTCAAATGTATTTCATTGCTGTTTGATATAAAGAGAGAAGTCTTTGGGATTATTCTCTTGTGTAATTTGTTGCGGAACTGAAATCAAGAGAATAATCCCAAAGATGGCTTGACTTTTGCACGATCCAGATTCGATACATTTATCTTTGTTTAGATGCATGGTACAAGAATACTGCCGCGGTAATGGTAGATCTAGTATCATCTGTGGTTTTTAAAGTGTGATTCATAGTTAAAGGGTTTACAATGATGACAGGTACAATATCGGTGTGATACCATCCAGACAAAGCTTGGCATTGTGTGATCATTTATCCGTGTCATCCTTTTGCAGGTAATTTTCAATTACTCCATTACAGGACTTGCTTGTCATACATTGACGGGAAAATGTGAGAGTGAATTCTTATAAACTATTGACAAAAAGTTGGCAACAAATTAAAAAAGAGGTTCTCTTTGCAATTTCTATTGGCACTACCTGGAGGGTAATACTAATTTGTTTTAGTATGAAAATCCTTACATCTTTCTTGTGAGTCATGATGGCTTACCACACACAAGGAGGAACAAGAACTTGCTTCCAAATTTTTGCATGCACCTCAACTCTCTTCCAAATTTTTGCATGCACCTCTCTCGTTACTTTACTGACGATGTCTATGTTTATAGACGTAGGCTTTCAACTGTGGTGGTCCGATTGAAGTTTGCTGAGCACCTGAAGGAGGCTGTCACATACATTGAGCAAGGGCACCTCCGAGTTGGTCCAGAGACTGTAACTGACCCAGCATTCCTAGTGACAAGGAATATGGAAGACTTCGTTACATGGGTGGATTCATCAAAGATTAGGAGAAAGGTTCTGGAGTACAATGACAAGTTGGACGATTATGATGCAATGAACTGAGGAGTCACTTGCGTGCTAATTTTAAGGTTCCTTTGTCTCCTTTTGTTGGTGGCTGAAGAGAAGCGAATTCTTATCTTGCATTGTATATCATGTATCGAACACCTCATAGGGTTTGCTGTTGAGCGCCAAATGTGGCATTTTTGTGGCTGAATACTATCAACGTTTTTTTTATCTTCATGTTGAAATGTATAATTAAAAAAAAAAAATTATGATATTTCCGTATGAAAACTGTTTTTTATTGTACATGGAAAATCCTTGATGCATTTTTATTACAATGCGCTCCTATCATGAAGATGCAAAAAGGTAGAAGTAACTCATATTGTTTCTCGATATGGAAGATCAACTGCCAGCTGCTGCTGGTGCTTCATCATAAGAATTGCAGCCGTATCAATGTCAACAGGTAGGCCAAGCATTACGTATTATTAAAAATACGTATTTTATATATTTATTTTAACTATAGAAAAATTTGTGGGTTTCAGATCAGCAAGCAACTTCTGACATGGAACTCCCAATTCAGGCATGATAAGAGGACGAGCAAAAACTATAATTGGAAAATAACAGATTTTTGGGAGAAAAATATTTCTATACCAGGGAGTCATATGTATTGAACAAACTCAGAATAGAGAGTTGCGGAGTTTGAACCCCTTCATACATATGGGGTTATGTAATTCACAAGCATCACTATTTTTACAAAAAAATTAAACTCCGTAGCCAAATACAGCAAGCAACACATACAACGCCCCTAGGTCTAATAAAAAATCCTCAGCCTCTCCCTGCATTGATTGCGGCGCGCACAAAGTCCTCACAGTTCGTAATGCCGCCAGAAAGCACATCAGCTAATACACCAATTATATCGAATGCCTCCTGCAAATCACTGGAAGAACTCATCTCATCGAGCCACAACAGCAACTCCTTGGAGAAATCCACCATCTCCTTTACATTTAAAAGTCGCTCTTTCATCACTACCTCCCAGCCTTCCAACTTCCACTGTCATCTTCCCCTTCTGATGCAGTAGAAGTACCTTCTGTTCTGGTCAATGACAGATTTGCTGATTTTTGTACCTTGAAGAAACGTTGCAGCTGCTCAATCAAGCCAGTGTAGACGAGCATTGGTCTAATGACAGACAAAAGCTCATCAGCACCCCCAATTTCTGCACTCGGACTTTGGCTTGTATTTCCCGACTCTATCTTGACTAAAGGCGATGAACTGGATGATGTGCGACCTGCTGACCGGCCATGCGTGTGCTGCATGTAGGCATGGTATATTCCACGCTGCAAGAAGGCACGGCGGTGTTGCACCCAGGATTCATGAGATTCCGAGAGAAGTGAATTCACCATCATAAATTGGACAGTTTCTTCAGATCCCAGAGATGGTTGTTTTTCAGGAGTAGAAGGTCTAGAATCTAAGCTAGAAGATGTCAAATATGTTGACACAGACTTGGCCATTGTATGACGCTGAGATGGGTTTCCCTGATCAAGAAGGTGACGCGCCATTTGGATCATGAAAGGAAGAAATCTGGAGTTGCTTTCCCTGCCACCACCTCTGCTTTCTGCACTAAATGATGCCCCAGTTGCAAATCGAGCTAGCATCTATATAACAAAGGTTCATAGATGTTAGGGTCAGATTTATGATGCCCAATCAATCCATAGTAGAAAGACATGGATGCGGTCACCTCAAGCAACTCATTCATACTCATGGTACTTGAAGCATCATCACAAGTTAATCAGTTCATGTAAGATAGTAAATGAAATTGCTCTTGTGATATCATTATCCTAAATTTATATTATTCCTAACATCATGCAAAAGGTTTAATCAAGGAAACCATCAGTATACATTAAGCATTTTGTTAATGCAATCTTCTAAACATAGAGAAAATGCAATGCACAAGGGAAGAACAAGACTATCACAACAAAAAGGCTAAATAACAAAACAGAAGAAAGAGAAAGAAAGTGTTATACCAGAACAATGTCATATGTCAACAGCCGAAGACGACTTGCATCAGCACGTCCTAGAGCATTGAGGTTGTCCCAGTACTGGTCAACATAGCGAATATACTGTGCTAAAGGAACAGATGGACCTCTCACAGGGAACAAAGAATTGCAAAGAGATTCATTGTTTCTGAGAGTCGCTCCTTCCCACTCTTTCTTTGGAATTTTTTTAAAAAAAAAAAAAAAAAAAAAAAAAAAAAAAAAAAAAAAAAAAAAAAAAAAAAAAAAAAAAAAAAAAAAAAAAAAAAAAAAAAAAAAAAAAAAAAAAAAAAAAAAAAAAAAAAAAAAAAAAAAAAAAAAAAAAAAAAAAAAAAAAAAAAAAAAAAAAAAAAAAAAAAAAAAAAAAAAAAAAAAAAAAAAAAAAAAAAAAAAAAAAAAAAAAAAAAAAAAAAAAAAAAAAAAAAAAAAAAAAAAAAAAAAAAAAAAAAAAAAAAAAAAAAAAAAAAAAAAAAAAAAAAAAAAAAAAAAAAAAAAAAAAAAAAAAAAAAAAAAAAAAAAAAAAAAAAAAAAAAAAAAAAAAAAAAAAAAAAAAAAAAAAAAAAAAAAAAAAAAAAAAAAATTGTACGCTCAAATCTTCAAACCATGTTGATTGGGTGGGAAGGCTCATCAGTCCGACAATGTGCAGTACTACAAACATGAGATCAGTGGCTATTGTATGCCAGTTTCGTTTATGTTTCCATTTTACACCACTCAATTAATAGGTGAGTCCAGAGCCACCTCCTCCTCTTCACGCATACTGCTCCCGTGCCAAACCCAACCGACCTTCCATTCATCAACTTTCTCCCATCCCCCGTCTCTAAAAATCTGGCTCTGAGCGCCCACTGATAGTAAGTAACTTGTCAGAGGGTCGTTGTTTATTTCCGTGTGTAACGTTTCTTTATTTTCTCTTTCTTGTTTCTGTGATACATAATTTGTCATGCGGGTGTCAGCAAATGCTGTGGTCAGTTCTAAATCCAAGTACTAAGATGCTATTATGTCCCTTACTAGTCTTTGTGGGTATGTTGCAATCTGTAAGGTGTGATTTATGCTAAACTAATATAGAACAGATAATAAAATCTTTCCTTTACTAACTATGTCCATGCGTCTGATTCTGTGTCAACGGTTAGAACTAATTAAGTTCTAGCTCACATTATAGCATGCAGCCACAATGACTCTTGGCCGCAGAATCGCACATCCTAGGAAGCATGTGAAAATCAGTATATTAGCTGATGCGCTTTGTCATCTTTCATTGATTACGTATTAATCTTCTAACAAGACGAGAGGGAAAGACCCAAAAGTGTGAATGATGCTGTATGGTCTTAAAGGACTCCTTCACATGTGTCATTCTTTCATTTTATGGCTACACATTTATGAAGACACTGAGCATTATGGCATTATCTATGTTCTGTCATAGTTTTAGTACTAGAGAGTGCGTCGATTTGCAGTGCTTTAACTTTAGGGAGGAAAATATCATGTCGCCACCACCCTCAAAGCATATAAATTTGTATACTTGAAGTATTGAACTCTTACTCATGCCAATCATATCAATGTGCTGTCTTCTAGATATATTGGTTAAATTGACATGCAATTTAGTAACCACATAGTTTGTATAATCCCTTCCTAACGATATCCTCTATGCGTACCCACATGCTCCTAAGCCCGTGATCCAGGCCCCGCCGGGATCAACATCAAAGATAAAGTTTAAGTATTCCACAGATTATTTCTTCCTTACAACTCGGTATATCTTTGAGTCAGCCGTCGAATTAATGGAGGAGCATGAATGGAAAACTCTTTATAGGCTAATGTACGAGTAACAACCATTGAACGACATTGTAGTCCTTGTTTACGCCTCCTTGATTGTCGGTCATAATGTACAGCGTTCGTCAAGTCTGTTCTATATGTTTGGCCGAAATCCTTTGTTCTAACCCTCGTTGATTTGAAAACTTTCTACTTAATCTACATGCATATTTCTCCTAATGAGTGTTGTACATTTTGCGTTCATGCGGTTAGCGGTAAAGTGGCTGTCAGTGGTATGGTTTGATAATGGGTTTCTCGGAATGAAGTATGTGACTAGACATAATATTGGCCATCACATGATACAGTCAAAAATTCTCTCGCCTGTTGAGAGCTTCCGTATCCATAGTGCACAAATATATAAATTTGCGGACATATATTGCTGAAACATAGTATGCCTAAGGCATGCCTGGCTGTGCCCCACGTAACCAAGTTTTTCCATGTCATAGCCTACTCATCATGAAATTCTCTGAATTGAACAAACTCAGAACCAGCTCTTACACGAGCACAAAAACCATGCACAGAAGCAACTCTATAATCCCAAGATAATGGTGTCAGCCTAGCCAAGCCGACTCTCCAACTCACCGTTTTGCTCTTCTTACTGTGATCAATAATCAACTAAGCCACCGGATTTGTTGAGATCAAATCGAGAATTTGATCAAGTAGAACCTAGAAAGCAGACTGTTTTATCTGCTTCTTCGCGCCATGCAATTCCTTGTCCGAAGGTATGTGAATTAAGAACGAACGGGCGACAGTACAATGGGATCAAGTGCAAAGAAGGCGTAATCAATGTGTCTGCCGTCGCATTAACAAACGACAGTGACACACTAAACATGCTATTACTCACCCCTTCTCAAAGAATGCAACGGATCCAAAAAGAATTCTGCTGGGACAAATAAAATCACATAATAATGATAAACGAACTTAGCGCAACCAGGTTTAGGAATCCAGTGGCGCCCAGCCATGAATGCTACATGGCTTCACAATCTTGAGTCCGTGTGGAAACGCTCTTGTGCTCTATTGCATGAAATGCGAGGAAGATGATGTCACAAGGGTATAGTATCTTGGATGCACCAGTTTGTTTACATTCGAGCACCAGCGCCCTAGTCGTACCAAATCCACTGTGGTGGGATCCAATGTCACTACTCAAACATGAAAGCAGTAAGCCCCAAGAACACATACTCTACCTCTTAGTTCAACAGAGCTACACAGGTAGACATGAGTTGGAGAAACTGTTGGTCACCTATATGGTCTCAAGCTACGGATAGACAATATGGGAAGAATGGTCACATACACTAACGTCGAATTAGTTTCCTTCTCTTTAGACAAAAAACATAAGAGCTTTGAGAAATACAATACACAAACCAATTTGGGACACTGTTTCCGCTTGCTATAGATCAAGGTACTCATGATTTCATTTGCTCTAAGATTCACGTTCATTATCGTTAGATCTTTTCAATAAGAAAATCCAGTTATGGAGTTCAACCCCTGAGAGGTGATAGCCTTGGAGGGCAGAGTCCCTTGGCTATAGCTCCTTTTCTAATCCTCCCCACGTAAGGATTTATAAGTTGGATCACTTTCTTTTTTTACTACGAAAGATAATTGAGAATTGTTAATTCATAGTACATCTACGTATTTGTGATACCTTACAACAACAGGGAATTCGATGCCTACAAAGTAAACTGGTGATTTCAAAAACTGAGAATCCACTGGAAGGCTTGCAAGTCAGTTGTTTCAATAAAAATGTCAAATTTTCGGCTCTTCTTTTTTCTGAAAAAGGCCACATACAACACGCTCTTGGTTTTCCTTCCATGTTTTCACTCCACCTGCTTTCCTACATCTATTGCTAGGTGGGTATGCAGTTTTTCGCTCTAAATGTATGTTGTCGTTAACTGTTTAATGTTTACGCTCGTAAGGTGATTTATACGTCTTATAAATAAAATAATTAACTGATTAACTTTATGTTGCATGTGCTATTACTTTTTGCATCTAGTAGTCCGGAGTCACCTCCATATGCTTGCTGGATAGCTTATGGTTACTTCAAGTAGTGCTATCTATATTGAGCTTCTACATGTCTTGCCGAAGAGGGATACCAAAACTGTGAACTCGAAGACTTTTGAGGCTGTTCTCTAGCCAGGTGGTTAGATCCATTCGAGACAAATCCGTGATGATTCGCCGCCCCTCTATCCAGCATCGCCTCCTGAGCCTACCAACACCGTTTCTGTTTCGCCCCACAGAGCTTGGGGGGTGCTGTGAAAGGTAGTGGGGGCGCAGCTGGTTGAAGGCCCCATGGGGAATTATCGGGTGCTGTGCTGTTTGATGTGTTTGTAGAGTTCTCCTGGTTCTGATAATGCTGTGTGAAAGATACCACACAAGTCCAACCGCGCTACCATCGGTGCAGTCTTGCCAAGACCATCCGAGTTTAGTCCCAAGCTCCCAGTGTGAGGTAGGATTATGCAGTGGATGGCGACAACTGGATTCCGGGTAGGGTGATATTATTGCACATGCATCAGTGGGGGGTCTGTAACATGGGCTATGTACTCCTTGGTTGAGAATCCCCTAATCCCTGCTTTTGTCTGGGGAGTGAATCTTCGCGTGGGGGTGGGGGCGTGTGGGGTGCATGGTGGGGTTGGAGTGGCAGAGTGACGACTAAGAAAGGGGGACCTACTACTATGGACTGGCGGCAATGGTTGACGCACGTTGCGCCCTGATGCTGAAACTGTGCTCAGCCTCTTGGGCACACCACTTCGTCTCGCCAACCCCCCACCCCCTCCCACACACTTGCAAACCCATCCTAGTTCCTGTTTTAGATTTGTCTTTTGATTCCATCGCAAAGTGATAGAGTACTTGTGACATCAATCGCATCTTGCAGAATACGTGGTGCAATTTGCTACATATTTCTCTGTTGCATAAATGCGCGTTAAGTTTTCATGTGAACTTTTAGCATCGGGTACTTGTGTCCTCAGCTCCGTGCCCCCCCCCCACACAATTGCGGGAGTAAGCTGGGATCGCAATTGTGGCCGCAGCTGGGGCAAGGAGCAGAGGTTGATTTCTTGGACTGGGTGGGGGGGGGGGGGGGGAAATTGGTTTTTGCTAGAGGAGGTTCTCGTGTTGCAAGGGCCGTGGCGTGTTGGCATGTGGTGCCGGGTGCCTAAAGGGGTTGGCATATCACTTGGTGGGATGCCCAGCGGGGCCACACATTGTCACCATTACTGGTGGGTTGTCCTGGCGCCGGGGGCTTGAATGTGTTGAAGGTGGTGCCGTTTTTAATGGTCCCTATTAAGGAGCAAACTAGTGGCAGATGGGTGGGTTAGCCTATAGCTGTCGAACGTCAGCCAGGTGGCGTGACAGGAAGGGGACCGAAGTGTCCTTACGGTATCCAATAGGGGACCTCAATGCTCTTCCCGTGAGTTTCGAACATTTGTTGTTCCTGCAAAAACACAGGCGATCAGGTCAGCTCCTTTCAAGCACCTTGGTAAATATGTCGGGCCTTTGAATCGGGGGTCAGACAAGTCAACACTGACAGCTTCGCGATGAACAACCGGAAATGTTGGTCATTCAAAAAAAGCCATTAGTTGATCCTGCGGGACATCGTGGAACTACCCTTAATTGATACTACACTCAACCACACTGCTAGGGTGATACGATGGGATCTGCAAACCAGTTTCTCTGTGTGTTCTCCATGCATGGATTTTAGTGTAAAGATTCAGTCAGCGTGCAGGTCACTCGCCACAGTCGCTGACCATGTCAAGATATACTTGATTCACTTGCAGAAATTGCCTATGAACATGATAGATTTGTCCCGCGAGCACTTGCCTCTTCTATTTCATGTTACTTTTTGTTTCGATGGTATTCGTCGACGTGGGCTGGCCCACTCTTGCCAGCCCTGCTCTTTCAATCCTCTTTCTGTACCGCTTCAGGACGCACTTGTACGTATATGTTGCAAACTGAGGGAGAGACAAGCCATCAGTTTGTCAGCCTTATCACGTATGTCCAGTCAGCGCCTCGCCTCCCCGGACTTCATGCATTGTGGGAAATGATGACGAACAGTTGTGAGATCTGAGCTTCCATGCCGCATTGTTGTCTGCACTAGTGTCAGAGCATTGGGGATGCTTCTTTCAATTTTCCACGGAGAATCTTCGTGAGACTTGTGGAGGCATGACCTGGCACTTGGGCAGGCAATGGAGTGCACACATCAACCCTAGGCCTGCCGCTCACATCAGATTTACCGTGCGTTGCGGCCTAGTGTCACAAGTGATACATGTTTTGCTGCTTCTTCTCCGGTGCCTTATAGGATGCCTAGAATCCAGTACCTCCAGTTTTAGATCATTATGGAATTTTGCTGACATTGCAAGTGTGGTGGAGAACATGGAACCAAAAAGGATACTGTACCCACAACTCTTTTTGGGGGTGTGTGGCTATGATGCCCCAGATCTTTGTTCTGTCTCTGTCAAGTGCTTGAACTCTTTCTCACGTGTGAATTGACCGGTTTATCAGTCCGGGACGAACAACAAAATGTCTTCTATTCGAGATAGCCTCGGATGAGTTTGATGCCTTAAATCAGCGGACATTGGACCTCCACAATGGAAACCAGGAGTGGCTATGAACACAGCCTCGCATCTTGAGAATCTCCAACTTTGAGGGCGGGTGCAGCCATTGTTTCTTAAAGGACTCATGCTCACAGTTGTCATTGGTGGTTCTATTGAAGTTCTCTCGCCGGTACACAGGCACTCTTGACTCTATCTTGGAATGCAGAGACAGACCTCTTGATGCACTCACAGCTCGTTGCTTTCTTCGCCCTGTCTCTGCTTGCAGCTTTATGGCAAGGATCCAGTGATGGTTGCCTGCGTCGCCACTCCAACGCAGTTCCAGAAAGCTTGCCTGTTGGCGGCCCAACATCTTCAATTTGTGTAGAGTCAAAGTATTGTGAGGATGATGTGGTGTCTACTGGGGTTGCTTTATGATGGTTTTGAGTGGCTGGCTGGTGGTGAGTATTGTCAAGAGTATCACGATCTCCTTGCATTTTTGTGATCTCACACGCCTATGCAATGAGTGGTTCCACCCAAAGACCCCCGCATCAGCTTGTTTGGGGGCACTATTACGACTACTGGAGAAAGGCCATTGAGTATCCAGCGTGTTATGCTAGCTCATCAACGACAGCTAAGAGGCATTGCTTCCAGATCATCACTTCGCAAATTCTCGCCCGTTGATCTCATCAATTGCAGTCCCAGTGAGCTGCCCCAAGAGTCCCCACATGTACTCGCTTTGTGTCCCAGTTGGTTAGAGAGCACTTACTTTGTGCTGTAGGCCTGAGTGTATTCGAAGCTCTTCTGCAAAAGAGTTGTAGCTCGTGCCAGGTTCTCAACCCTCATGAACCTGGTTCGTTTTGGACGTATAGGCGGTGGTGATGAAGAAGATTCTAGCCCTCATACCTCATTAAGGCTCCCGTGGGCCGCTAAAACAGTATTGGTATGGCATGCGCGATTCTCGCCTGGTTGTGGCCACGGAGGGGTTTCGAATGCGCCGTGGCAGGCACGGGGGATTCGTCAAGTCTGAAGGGCTGGATCTTGTGTCGAGCCTAGAGGGATAGGGGGGGTGGCTTTGCACAACAGCACGGCTTCTCCT